CAGGGGGGTGGCAATTAGAGATGCCACCCAAATCTCATAGCACCAGCCCCTCACTGATCCTCTGCAGGTGGTGAGTACACAGGAGCTGAGATCTTCCAGCAGGGGCTTTGGGCAAAGTGGGGTTAAGTGTCTTGCCCAAGCACACAACAACAGCAGTCATCAGTGGGAGTCGGTGGAGAAGGTGTAGAGGTGGGAATTGAACCCACGACCTTCTGGCCTTGAGGCCATTGTATGATGTCTGGCAAACTGTAATCTGGCTCTACATAAATTACACATAAATTACACATAAGGACAATCTTTTCAAGATAAAATTTATTGTGCTGTACAGTATGTGGTTAGGATTTGGCGCTAAGATCCCCGCAGAGCATAGCACAATTGGGGCCTAGACCCTGGTGGTGGTGGTAGCTAGGAGGAGGATGAATGAGCTGGCCTAGAACGGGCGGAGATGGGGAGGAGGAGGGTTGCGGCGTGAATGTAGCTGCTTGGAGGGAGCTTCTGCGCGATGTGAAGCTGATGCGGGCAGTGCCTGATTGCTGCCAGGTGAGATTTGCGTGTGGCGCTGCACAGCGGAGTGTGATTGACTGATTGCTGTTGCCGTGAGCAACAGCAGGAGGACTTTGAGCGCTGTGAGCTTAGTTTTCCTGTCTTCCATTCTTAAGTTCCGCTTTTGCTTCATTACTGCTACTGTACTACTACTGTTAACATTACTATTGTACTACTTCTACTGTACTACTACTACCACTACTGCTCTGCTAATACTACACTAGTACTATTACTGCCATCCTTAACCTCACTCCTCATTGCCTCAGTCACATATTTGCAGTAAGATCCATGTCTGCAGCGTTTCATTACAGATTTCATGTTTTATTTCTTTTTTATTGCCGGTTCGGTGAAGCGTCAGCCCATTTATCACACACTGAGCTCAACCTGTGGGGAGAAAAAGGCACATTATTCTTTTTTTACAACTCAGATTTATTTTAATGTTATGGACAAATGTGAGGCGCGAGATGTAACTGTAATAAGTGGAATCGGGAACAGCTGAAAGAGAGGCAAGATTGTTACATCAGATAAAGGGCAATATTCATATGTTAACGTTTTGTTACAGACCTTGTTGAAGATTTTTCACAAATCAAATGGATACATGCAGTAATGTAGAGCACTAATTTCTATATTTGAACATGTATGTTATGTATGAAAGATAATAAAAAAGAGGTTATGATAACTAGAAAAGTCAAAAATATGCTGATCATTTCACAGAATCCACCCCAAAATCTTTGAGTTAGTATGGTAATCTAGCTAACTCATTAACAAACAAATTAACCCCCAAAAATATGTAAATGTATTTCACCTTACTTTGGACATTAACCATGCAGCTGACCCTAACCCAGAAGTATGAGTCCTGCTAAACACTATTTTATTGATGACTGAATAGTTCTAGACCATTTCAAATTAATCCTTGGTTGAAGCTATAAATAAACCAGCAGCTCGTGATATTATGTGCTTTTAACATGTTGAAGACAAAGCAGAAAAGAGAGTGATTGACAGCTCACATTAACGCCCCGCCTCTTGTTCCTCCTCACAGGCCGAGGATTAAAGACCAAACATGAATATTTATCAGGATTACACAATTCAACAAAAGGAGGGAAAAGGCAACTCGTAATGGCCTTCAAAACTCCAACATTAACAAACATGGAAAACAGTGAGAAATGAAAACTATGTGTGTACAATAAAGAGCTGAAGTTTCGAAAGAATATCCCTCAGGGGCCCCCACACTAAAATGATTCTTAGTTTTTAGCCATCTAGTCTGTAGCCATGTGTCTTTTGGTAAAACAACCATTCTATAAAGGATTGGTGTGCCAACTGATGCACACGGGTCATTCTGAGTAATTTGTTGAGTAGTTTGTTAATCGAACCAAAATTGGCTTCCAACCAATGTGTTTCAGAGTGTAAAGAAATCAGATTTTATTATCTAGAAAATATATTCCTTTTCCCTTTAAAATTCACCAAAACCGGACTACACATTCTAGGTTAGTTGTGGTTTGAGTTGGGTTGCTAGTTTCATATGATTTGAATCATTCTATATATCTCCTGAATTCCATTGAATTGCAGAAAATAAATTGTTCAGGTTCAGCTAACCTTTATCTCTGTTTTATACTATGTTTATGTAGAGTGACAATGACAGACCTTCTCCACCGACTCCCACTGATGTCTCCTGTAGTTGTGTTATTGGGCAAGACACGTAACCCCACTTTGCATAAAGCCCCGCGTAAAGAGCAAGGATATGCTCTCTCTGACAGAGCAGCCATCCTCCTGTGGACCTACCACCTGCAGGAGGATCAGTGAGGGGCTGGTGCTCTGTGGATTGGGTGCAGCTCTGATTGGCACTCCCCAGACCCAGAAATAGATAATAAAGGGGAAGAAAATGGGTGGATGGATGGATGGGATATTAACTATATGTTGCATCTTCCTCTGCTTTCAAGTCGATAGATTACTAAAACTTGGGTAAAAGTCCATAAACTAAGGTCTGACAACAGTTTTGACAAGTCCGGTCCGGTGTATTTCTTTGCACTCTGTTTGCCGTTCACATAAACACACTGTAGCAGGAATGTGTGCCACATCATCATCTCTGGAGATCAACAGCTGATAGAACTGTGTCTAAATTAATTCCTGCACCCCAGGGGTCGCTCTAACAAAATAAGGATACCATACATTGGCCGCCTTGCGATTTAGGCTGCAAATATTCAAGAAAATCAAAAAAGTAGCGGCTATTATACTCCGGCCATTATGACATTAACAATGAGGAGAAAGGTCATTGATGGAATGTGTACTGAATTCAGCTATGTCCTTTTTTTCTGAAATCTCGAGTACAACGTGGACTGAAACAGAAAATGGTTATGTTTGTGGTTTGATCACTGTGTGCCATGACTTAAAATCGCATGACACTGAAGATTCCGGTTTTCTGTGTGCAGCTTAAGGCTTTTACAGATATGTTAGGAGATGCTTTACCTTCTAAGTGAAATTAAACTCAGACTTAATTTAATACATGAATAAAAGAGGAGGTTGTTATTTTTCTAAAGATTCTCTCTCCGGAAATGTGGAGAAATGTGAAGAATGTCTGAGTAGACGTAAAGAGTGTGGTTAATATGAAACTCACAAAGATGCAGTGTTTGAGCCGGAGGAAAGGGCCACACGCAGGTCAAATCCTTTTCTGTCACACAAATATGAAAACTGTTTAGTGGTTTCATGGCCATAGATTCGACTATACTTACAGCATAATAGTACATATTCTCCAGAATTTTCTTTTTTTATAGTTTTGAACCATATTACGATGTATTTCTTATCAAAACAGACCTGGAAATATTTGGGGCTTATGGTATAGAGACGTCACCCTGCCCCCTTCAGTCTTAATGCTCCATTTTCAAACTCTTTATCAATCTTCAATCAATCTTTATTTATAGAGCGCTTTTCCTGAACAGGGCAACACAAAGCGCCTCACAGTCCACACCACACAAGGCACAAATCATCACCATAAAAAATACAATTAAAAACACACAGGTAATTAAAAACATTAACATATTAAAATTACACAGGTAATTAAAAACATTAAAATCACACAAATAATTAAAAACCATTAAAAATACACAAAGAGTTACAATAATAAATAACAAGGTGCGTTAAAAAGATAAAATTCTCCAGTTGTATGCACAGGCAAAAAGAAAAGTCTTTAACCTGGATTTGAACATCGACAAAGAGGCAGCCAGTCTCACATCCTCAGGAAGACTGTTCCAGACCGGGCCGATTCATATGGCACAAACATGTCACTAATGTACTTTGGTGCGAGGAGACTTGTACACAAAAGAGCTGCTTGCTTTATGAAAGATCCTCAGACGGCTGCAGTGAGAAAACGCCTATTAGCTGATCTGGGTGTTGGTTCTGCTCTGCACATTGAAGGCAGGGCAAGTTTATTTGTATTGCTCAATTCATACACAATCACACAAGGCATTAAAATCATAAATAATCAGTCACTTGTCAGAGAAGAAGCTTGTCTCACATTTCCAGGAAGACTATTCCAGATTTTAGATGCGTGAATCTGAAATGCTGCCTCCCCAGTTTAGTTCTGACTCTGGTCCTAAAGAGGGTTGGACAGAGGCTTTTTTTTTGAGCCAGGGACAAGTTACATTTCGTAACCATGGGTACCCTACTTCATATTTATATTGTGAACATAGAACATTTTTCTGACATTTCTGTGGGATGAATAAAATATAAATGCCTATCAAAGCAGCAGAGGTCTTTGTGTTGTTTATAGCTATTTCTTTTGCATTTGTGGTTGTTTTGTGTATTTACTTTTTCACAATCTGGAGGTTTGTTGAACAATTTTATCACTTTTATTGAACATGGGTTTGGACATTCTTGTTTGGTAAGCTGCTTAGATTGAAACAGAACCGAATCAAAAAGTGGCCATTTAATTAATTATCCCTAATAATAACGTTTTGGGATTAATAATAATAATAATGCATCGGTTTTATATAGCGCTTTTTTGGACACTCAAAAGACGCTTCACATGTGTCATTATTCATTCACTCCATACACGGTGGTGATAAACTACTACTGTAGCCACAGCTGCCCTGGGGCACACTGACAAGGCAACCAGTATGCGCCATCGGCCCCTCCGACCACCACCAACCATTCACACACACCAGACTCATTCTAGGCAATGGGGGTGAAGTGTTTTGCCTAAGGACACAACGGCAGTTTGGCACTTTACAGCCGCAGCCGCCCCACTGTGGCACCTGGTGTTCCCAGAGGTTAAGTGTCTTGCCAAGGACACAACAACAGTAGTCAGTGGGAGTCGATGGTGAAAGTCTTGAGCGGGGCTTGAACCCACGACCTTCAGGCCAACGCTCTACCAACTGAGCTACTGCCACCCGCAATATGATGTAACATAGCATGGTTGCATATCAGTCGGGTGAGAAGAGCTTTGGGCTAAAAGCTTTAAACAAATGTTCTCACCTCGGTCTGTGTTTTGCAGTTTGGGAGATCAGTTTTACCGCGAGGCCATCGAGCACTGCCGCAGCTACAACGCTCGGCTGTGTGCGGAGCGGAGCGTGCGGATGCCCTTCCTGGACTCACAGACAGGGGTCGCTCAAAACAACTGCTACATCTGGATGGAGAAGCAGCAGCGCCGGCCGGGTAAGCCCCAGCGCATCACAGACCATACAACATACATGCAGCAGGTGGGCAGTTCAATCCCCACGCCTTTCTTTTTTTATGTGGAGTTTGCATGTTCTCCCTGTGCCATACAAAACAGTGTTCCCCAACCTTTTTGAGCCCTGACACACCCTTTTAATTGAAAACACACATCACATAGCACACCATCAGCTGAAACTGATACAAAGATAAAACCCTGCAGCCATTCAGTCATTCTCATCAAAGTGTTTTATGTAGAAAATAATATAATTCTAATCTAATTATTGTCTTTTCACGTTACTTTGACCAATAAGGTGATATTGAATGATTTCCAAACGCCACACATACCTCCTGGGGTGTACAACGGGCAAGATTTCATAGTATGTGAAGACCATTTTTGAGGCCACTGGATATGTGTAGCTTTCTGGCGTTTTCACAGTTTCCACGTCTTTTGTCCAGCCTAATTCTCCACGTTCCTTTTTGCCTGAGTCTAAAACGGTTACAGAAGGCAGAAATCGTGAGCGGCCACAAAGTGTAGGGTGTGACCGAGGCTCCAAGGCTCCGAAGGTCTAAAGCTCTGAGGCTCCGGCCTGAGACGCAGTCTATTTGCGTCACTGTTCTGACTGAGGACAGCACCGTCCCCTTTGGCCAAAACAGAGACCACATCTGCAATTCAACACATCCATTTGAGTCCATTCCTCTACTTATTCCACCTAAGGGAGACATGCACATTTTGTCATGTTACCACCACAACCATAAAGATTTTGTTTCGAATATTTTACCGCAAAAATATAAAAGTGAGAGCCAAATGATACATGGTTTAGTTGTTGATAAACTACAGTAACAGTAAATACTATACTAAGAAATCCCAAGCTCCAGCAGCTTTTCTTCCAGATTGTCCCGGATCCTCCTTTCCATCAACTCTGACACTCTTCCCTGTCCCTGCTGAAGAAAAGCAGCTCCATAACATGATGCTACCACACCCATATTGGACACAATTAGCGGAGTTCAATTTTGTTTTCATCTGACCACAGCACCTTCATCCACATGTTGAATGATTCCCCCGCTTTGCTTTTTGCTGCTTTATTTCAACCCTGGCTTTCTCTTTACCACTCGTCCATAAAGGCCAGATTTTTAAAATATAAGGCTATAATTTGCTATGGATTCATGATGCTGTTTAGTGACCAATATTGTCTAAAAATGCTTTGAGGCCCTCACAGAACAGCTGTTCTGCGATGAGATTACACACAGTACCAAACTAAAAGAGTCGGTTCTTTCCTGTACGGTAAAAGTATATTCCATCATTGCCAACTTTTGGTTCGTCTCTTTGCAGGAAACTAATTGATCTTGTTGTGGCTGCATGTCTGCTGGTCAGACCCACTCACAATTAGGTTGAACTTCATCCCATAAATGAGAAAACAATCATCTGTGTATCATATTATTCTGGTCTGAGTTACTATAGAATGCGTTATTATAAAACACAGCTGGTTTTTTATGAGGACTCACAAAGCACCTGTCGTCTATAAACAAGCTCCAAGTAGAAGTCTCTCTCATTGATGTGCATGTTACTAATCTGCAAGGAAATTATTATCTCTGCCTGTGTGGACGTGAAGTGTAACATGGTGCAGAGTGGAGCGTACACAAGCACACAGTGCATTTTGACAGAAACATGATAGCATGGTTGAATCTGGGGTTTTCTTCTCTTTTTCTGAATATATTACTTTCCCTGAAACTGAAAAATAACCGTTAAAGGAGCTATACCCGTTTCTGCAAGGTTTGAATGTTTAGCACCGCCCCCAACTCACTCACAGGCTTCTCATTTCCCCTACGCTCTCATTCCACGGAGCCATCTAGTTTTATTTGCGATCTATTTGAAAACATTAGCATGAGGGCAGCTTCTTGTAAGCTGTACAACAATCACTGATGTCGCGCTATATTTCTACTCAGCACTTTTTACAGCCTGAATTCATACATAAGCTGAATCAATGAGCTCAAGTTTTCAATTAAATTACGGATTATAATACAACTTGTATGTAGTAATAAGCATTTTTATTAACTCATTAAAAAAGCAGATATTGAAAAAGTGTGCTACCCAACCTTATAATCACAGTTTGTCACTTTGATTTTCAGTGAAATATATAAAATAATGTCATTGTGTTTGTGGTCATAATAGGACAAAATGTGCAAAAAAATAAATACTTTGTTATGTGCTATATAATATAACCAAAACATGTAATCTCAAGTGGTCGAGGTGTTTGCTCCGTCACTTCTCAGCAAGAATCGTAATGGGCCTTTCTTAGTTGGCGTGTTCTCCCTGTGTGCTCTGGGTGTACTCTGGTTTCTCCGACCACTTGTAACATGTACAGTTCCTCCCCTCTCCCTGGGGCGAGGTCTAAAAAAAAGAGTCTTTTGTGGGACTTAAAAGAAAGGTCAATAAATATGTTGTTTTAGAAGAGTGATCCACTATAATGCTTCTATACATTTTAAGATGAAATGTTTACACCCCTTGAATGTGCTCGGACTAACTGAAAAATGTCAAAGTCTTAAATAGACCTCAGTGTGAGTGTTGGCCTGTGCTTGTGGTGCGTACATTCTTAGTAAATCTTGGTGTGTGTGTTTTCAGGTCGCGCCGCGGGGCAGATGTACACGTATCCCGCTCGTTGCTGGAGGAAGAAGAGGCGACTGCACCCTCCTCTGGACCCTCAGCTCCGTCTGTGTGAGCTCAGACTCGGTAAGCACCATTTTCTATCTCTGTCAGGGATTCCCAAAAATATCAGGCAGGAACCCCCGAAATAAGCACAAACCACATCACTACATGAGCCACCTGAGCTCCTGAACCCAGGTCACTTTGTTTACAGCGAACAAAAACCTTTCCTTATATTTGTTTTTATATCAGTAGTTCCCTATTTCTTAAGACCAATAGTTGATCCCAAAATACATTTTGACCTTTTGAAAGTGCGGTCTCATTAAACATAAGCTGATTTGGATGTACAGTATACACCTCAAACCAAATATTTCAAAACCATTGTGTTGGTGTACAGAATCCAAAATATGAGATTTGAATCCATGACCCAATGTTCTCCATTTCACCGAATGTCCTGTACATTATGAAGCAGCAGCGGTGGTGCGTGTGTGAGACTCCTCTGTAGCGGACTGAACACATGGCTCTGTTTAGTGCTCAGGTCGCCTGGTTCAGTCACCGCGGCTGCTTCCCCTGATCGGGCCTCTGTAATCACACAACACACACTGCAGCAGTCCTAAAGTTTACAGCGCATACTCATACTCTTCATCAAGAACCACCCTCATCACATGGGACACTGTAATTACTCATATCAGGAGAACCACACTCATATCAGGAGCTGCTGGCACAAACATGAAAAGTGCCATCTAGGGGAACACTCAAGAAATTACTTCCTGCTTTGTGTATTGGAAGCCAGGACGGTGTGATCGACGCAAAGACACATCTCTGTCCTTTTTTTTATGCGGACAAAAAAGACTCTATTCTTAAAAGAAGAATCAACTTGTATCTATAAGCAGACTAAGTAAAGCCCATTGGAATACGACTCTGTTCATTAGGTCATCCTTTGAGCATGCGTGATGTGATGTGATGACCACCCAGCTCTGTTTTTTCCTGTTCAAATTGTTAAAAAAGGCTGTAACTGTATTTACTCTGTTGTTAGTCTTATGTTTCTGGGTTCAGATACTGCACAAGATAAGTAGATATATCTAAGAATCAACCAATAAGGACTAAGGATTTTGAATAAGGATAATATTGTACTCAGTGTAATCAGAAGCCGGGTTCCACTGGAAAGTACCAGCCCTAAAGCTGAAGCTAAAAAGTCTGGGGGGGAGGGGGGGGGGGGGGGGGGACTGCCAGTAACGTCATACAGTCATACAGTGAAAACCAGGTTGAAAATGCTATCTCTCATAATGCCTACTATTAGAAACTTCCAGGGCGAGTCATTTTCATATTCAAAAGAGCTTATTTTCAGTGTCCTTGTGTTTCTGCCTGGGACGAGTTTCATGCTTTTGTTCTCTGGAGGAATGTCTGAGGAACCTGATAAGGCTAAACTAAAAGACCGATCGACTGCAGCCATTGTTCCCACGTCCAGATGTAACACAACACTGCACTGGGCACAGGGCAATGTCCCAAGCCCACAGCAACAAATACATACTGGACAATCAGTAAGGTCCAGAGCCCCCAGGACACACTTACAGCTGCACAGGGATTCGGCAGCTAGGCAATTGCCCCAGCCCTAAAAAGAGTCTTGAATAATATTGATTAAAGATATAAATATATTGATTGAATTTATAGTGCATCAAAAGTTTGTCACAACTGATTTAAATTTCATCCATTTTCGAAAACCACAAACATACAAAGAATATCATGGGAATGGGAAGTTCCTTTTTGACCCATTTATATTGAGACGTTCCTGTTCCGTGAAAAGCCGACGCGGGTCCCAACAGCAAGCCAACCTTGTTCCAGATTGACAAGTTGTTTGAACACTGGTCTGTAGTGTATAAAGGGCTGTAGAAGGCTCCTTACAAAAATATGCTGGAACCTGTTTTATTGCAGTGAAAGGGTGCAGTGGTGTCTTTGGGTGTAGTGGTGTTTTCTGCAGCTCAGATCCGTATCACAGCAGACACAGGAATGCGACGCTCCCTTCACGTTTTCATGTTTATTTAATACTTCCTGAGTCACCGAGATTTTTTGGAAAACTGTGCCTGCTTCCAAGCCAAATCATCTTATAGTATCATCACCATAGTTTGTTCTGCTGTCTTTTTGTTCTGACCATTATCTATCCCCTCCTTTCACTGCACTGTTAAGTTAATAGTTCATTTTTTAAAAAGTGTATTCTGCCTTTTTTATACACATCTTAACAAGGCGCGATCTCACAACTCAACAATTCACTTATAGCAAAGCAAGTTTCGAAACAAAAACTAACTAATTAGCTTGAATAAAGCAAAAAACAACTCTGTCTGGAATTCCACCTCTGGGCGGCGCTTTTCTGTATCGAGTTTGCATGTTATCCCCATGTTTGCGTAGGTTTCCTCCGGGTGCCCCTGTTTCGCCTACCACTAAAATATATACAATAGTGCAGGGTGAATGAGTGTGTGTTTAATGCGGTCTCAAAACTATGATATATTTTGTGTACTTGACAGAAAGTTCCCTGTGAGTTGCTATTTGAGTCTTTAGGGTAAGAGCTGATTTGCTGACTGATGGTGGTCCTCTCACTTTTCTGTCTGAAAAAGCTGTTTTGAGAATGAGACACTTTAATATTGCTGGTGGTTTTAAAGTTGCGTGCCCCAGCTTTAATCTTTGATGTCAAGAAGGGTTCCACAAAATACCTTCTTGCAGTTCGGAATGTTTGAGACCCTCGATCTACAGATAGAATATTTACTACCACTCCAAATACTAAATGCCACTGCTGCTACTACTATTGCTCCCACTGCTACCACTGCTGCTAATACTGCTGCTGCTACTACTATTGCTACCACTGCTGCTACTACTGCTGCTGCTACTACTGCTATGATTACTGCTGCTAACACTAGTAACCCCTTCCCTTTTCATGCTTTATCATCCGTAATGTGATTTCAGTTCAGACAAAAGCTCCAGTGGCCTCAAGTCGGGACAATATGTTTCTCATTTAGTCCGAGATGAAATGCGCTTTTTTTGCTTTTGTGCTGGAAAAGCGTTTAACCTCACATGTGTTTAAGCTCTGGAGAAAAGACCTGTGCCACTCCACCAAACTGCAACGGAAACAACGACAAAGCGGGCACACAGGAGCAGGAAATGTGGAGTAGATTGTGCAGTTGTCTGGAGACACAAAGGGTGTTGAGTTCCCACACAGTGGCTGGCAGTACTAAAACAACAACCACAAACACAGATTTTATTTTGGATGTTTCCTTTTATTATTTTTCAAAGACCACAACAAATTAACAGACAACTGTGAGATGAAGGCAAAATGAAACATGATTTTAGGAAAAAGTAAAAAAGTGAAAAAACTGGGGCATACTCATGTATTCATACATACACCTCACATACAGAGTGCATTTGACCGCTGAATGGCCTCATGATGCCCACAAAGACAATATATAAATCTTGATAGTATTACAATTATATGGCTATGAAATTGTTTCAGTTATACAGTTTCTGTCTGCTGCTTCATACATTTACAAAATGTTAATTGTCTGCACCACAGGCCTAATTTAATGTGGGTATATTATTATACTCTGTTTAATAATTGATCAAGTTTGTAATAATACATTATGCACTCGAGTTCAACAGCAGTGATCTGGATTGACTAAGGAGGCACGTCATGGCCACATCAAGAACAACATACAGGCCTGAGATAGAAGAAGATAGTAGGTTTATATTTGAGGCAAATAAACAAAAAGACAATGTAGCCTTTGGCTGTTATTAGATTACCGGTAGGTACTGTATGTTCTAAAGTTATAGGCTAAAGGCCTATAGCCCAATGATAATAAGATTTGATAATAAAGATAAAAAATAAAAGACAGTGAAGAATTGTTTTTTTTAAAATCCAATGCAAAGGTCAAGATAAGCATAGAGAACCTTTATTCGTCCCACAGTGGGGAAAATTCAACTATATGGCTATGAAATTGCGACAGAATTGTACATGTATTACAGAAATAGACTAATGGGTGATTTCCTGAACATGTGAAACTGAGTGATGGCATCTCAGGTGTAAGAGAATATAAATTAGTGCAAAATGTCTCTGTAAGAAACTGTGAGTGTGTGAATGACAAGGGGAAATACGATATGCTGGGCAAAAGCTGAGACCAGTCTATTCTTCATGTTACGTCCTCATTAACAGCAGTTCCTCACTTCTCACAGAGGCAGAATTGGCCCCTAAGCGTGAGGGACCCCCGGGTGAAGCCACAGCTCTGGAGGCCCTGCTGAGAGGGGACAGTCTGCTGGAGAAGAAGAACCTGAACAAAGACGAAGAGACGCTGTTGGAGATACAGGTACGAAGGGGAGGCTCTGAGAGCAATGTGCTCCAGGACATTTAATGGGCAAATCAGAAAGTTCTTTAAGACGACTGCTGTTGTGATGTGGAGCTGAAACTTTAGAACCTGCCACTTCAACTTATTTTTGCAGAGGTACAAATGTTTGTTTGGTGTCACAAACAGACACAAAAAGAACAAAGTCACGGAATAGCTTTTGGCTTTTGCCGGAAGATTATAGAGATAACTCAAACAGTCCATGAAGATTAGAGCTAACTCAAACAGGCTCCATGAAGAATAGAGCTAACCTTGACGGTTAGAGTTAACTCAAACAGGCTCAATGAAGATATGAGCTAATTCAACATTAACATTTTAATATGAATACCTACTAAGATTTGTCTGAGAGCTAGACATAATCATCAAAAGAGCCACATCTGTCTCCCTAGTTATAGGTTCCTGACCCCTGTTATAGCCCCTTTAAATGATGTTTGTGTTTTCTGTTTCAGAGAGTTTTAGAAGCAGAGGAAAATGGTGATGCGTTCCAGGACGACGAGGACTTTGACGTGGACACTCCCAAGAGAAAGAACCGGACCAGAGGCAAAGTGAGTGCGGCTCTGGACCCTCGCCCTCTGCGCCCAAAGAGCTGTTATTTAATACCTGCTTTGTGTTGGTCTGCTCTCAGAACAGAGGAGCAAGTCGGCGGAGAGCTGAGGCTGTGAACAACGAAGACCTGGATAAACCCTACGTCTGCGACAGTAAGGCCGCAGTGATAGCAGTGTACTGCAGGGGGCACTGCCCTCAATCCCCCTGCACTGCAAACATGAAATAACCTGTGATGCATTTATATGAAACAATGCGGATGTAGAATTTGTGGCGAAGCAAATCTAAGGGAATGAGATAAGGGCTTGGTGCGACCTAATTGAAGGCACACAGTAAAAGGCATAATTTGCCGGTCGTATTAAAGGGCAGGAAACTTTTCCTGAGCAAAATGTGTTAGTGTTACAAATACAATCATTGGATATCTCCAAGAGGCAGAAGAGGTTATGTGTGTGCCATAAGTTTCTGATATTAGCAAGGAAGGATCTTAAACCAACTCCTTTACTTTTATGCGGGGATTTTTTTCTCATGTTTATAAGTGCATGCCTTCAATTAGACCACACCTTATTAGATTTAGACCTAAACCAAGCAGAATGTAATTTCAAACATCTACCACAAAATAGAAATGATACTCATTCTAGTCATCCCTTGCTCTGCTCTGTCTTTAAAAGCTCTTTTTCGCAACCATTCCTGAATCAAGCCCAGAACTTGGCTCTACTTGACAAAGAAAGAGTGAAATACATCTACTGAAATCTGACAAAATAGATTTAGTAATGAAAAGTTCTATAAATGTAAAACTAGCCTGTGAATTAAATAGATTTTATTTCATGTAGACGTGTTTTTGACCCATAGAAACATCCCATTTGAGCAGAGAACATGTAATTGTCGTAGAGTGTCCTCCCTGTCCCCTTCTGTTTGCCTTTCCCTCAGCATGGACCTCGCAGCAGTCGCATGCGTCCTACACTTCAGAGCGATATTAAATGTACCTCATCTTTATGTTGTCTTGTTCTGTATTTTTTTTCTTTTTTTGTTGTTTTTATTTTTGCTTTTGTGTCTTTTCTGTTCCAGATAGATACAAACAAAAGCATAACTCAAAAAGGGCTGAAGAAGGTACCTGAAACTGTCCGCCATCTTGGTTTTTTGCTCCGTTGAATGAACTGAACGTTGCCTTTAGTTTGATCTGAGAGAATGCTAATGCTTACCGCTAACCCCTTTTGACATGTGCTAATCAGTGCTTCCACGCTAGCAAAGAAACCCTCTTATTACTAAGTTAAAAACTGCAAAACTTTCCATCTACATGAGGTAAAGGTTCGTAAATATATACAGCATATTATCTGATTCCTGGAGTTGCGTTGTTTCAATGTGATTATGGAGAGAAATTATGAAGCAATAATAGCTCAAACATTAATCAGATGTATATAGTATCCTCGTGCTTTAAAGCCGGGGTATCTACCTTTTAAACCACAAAAATAAAGCAATATTGGCAAACTCCTTGTTTGCTAGTTTGGTTTTATCACCAGTTTTCACATACATGTATTTTGTTCCTTAGCTTTTTCAGACAGAATAGTGAATCAGCTCTCAGCCCAACAAATCAAAAAAAAAAAAAAAAAAAATAGATGAAGACAGCGGTTAAGACTTATTGTTGGAAAAATGTACAATTTACTGATAGCAATTATAAGGATACTATTTTCATTATGTTGTCATGGTGTTATCCAAAGCAAACTGACAAATAATTAGGAATATCTACCTTTTATCTTACCTATTTTTAAATTGACTTAATGCACTACCGCCACTAAAACACAATTAAACTCACAAAAACGCTCATTCATTAAGCCTTTTCGACACATTGCGTTACCACTATCGGCAATACACATGTGGTGCTTAAAGAGCGATTCAAACTTTATAAGACGTTCAAACTTTATTCTTGCAACTCGAGCTGGAAGAGCACAATTACAGCATGTGCGCCTGCTGTTTAGAATCTGCGCTCCTATTGGCTGGTTTTACAAAGTGGGCGGCCTGTATTTGTAGGTTGACTGATGATAGATCCATTCGTGCACTGAATCTTCTTTCGCTGTGCAATGAGCCACAGGTAGAAAAGAATGAACACCATGTTTGTGTTCTCAGTTCAATGTATTTTTGTATAGCCCTAATTCACAACAGCCAATAGTCGGCAATAACAGATCAGAGAATCAAATATTTTTTATCGCAATAATGAAACAAATACATAGGTAGCCATTGGTTGGGAAAAGACATAAATACATTTCTGTATCGTTTGTTGTGGATTAGCCAAGTACTGCAGAAGACATACAAAATACAACAATAAAACACATAAGAGTCATTAGGGTTAACCAATATCCATACATTTTCTGGATTATCCCCTGTCCTTAGACAAAAGAAACGTGAGAAAAGAGATAAGTTCCATTATGATTTTAGCTATAAATAGTCCGTTGTTGCACACGATTGTAGCCGTTCAGTTAAAACCTTGTACAATGCAGGTCGTTCTAATCCCTCAGCAGTCCTTATGAAATCCCAAACTGATTCATGACCTGAATCTCTGTAGTAGTGGTCTTTATCTCATGTAGACGGTATTGCTTTGCAGTGAAACCTTTGCATGTAGTAGAGCGGTTGAGCAAATAATCGTGTTCTTTGGGATAAAAGTATGAAATTTGGCACACTGACTAAATGCGCCTCACTGATTATTTCCACTGCAGCATGGTAGTTGCTATGGTGATTATTTTTTTAATGGCTGCCAATTTTTAAAAATAAATATAACTTGTATTGTAGAATTAGGTCAATATGTATCGTTCAGAGGTCTGCAAAGCCACAGGGGGCATGAGGATTTAAATAACTCAAACATGCTTGAATTGTGCTAAAAACAGCTTTCTCTGTGTACATAGCAAACAACTGTAACATGGCCAAAAGTCAATTTTTATGTTATGTTGCCGCTAAAGAAGATAAGCCCATATACTCTGCAAACCAAACTAACATTTTAACGTGTTCCCCAAAGTAGCTCTGTCATCTGTCCATTTTCTTCTACTTTATCTGTTCTCGTGGGGGGCTTAAACCCACGACCTTCAGGCTCAAAGGCCAATGCTCTACCAACTGAGCCACTGTCGCCGCTACTATGGTCGATCCATTTTCCAAAATCATCACAAGGGTCCATTTAATCTATGTGCCAAGTTTCATGCTTTTAACCCAAAGTGCTTTTCCTATAAATAATCCTTCCTTAACTAATGTGTCATGACGTGCTAACATCAGAGTTACAGCAGCAGCTTTAGCATGACGCCTCTCATCAGCTCATATACCTGCACACTGTAGAAGGGAAGGATCCAACATGGAGCCTGCTTTTGTGTAGACATTCATGACTTCAGAATTCATTCTCGGTTTTACCTTTAGAGTTTCAAAAGTAGATAAGTTTATATCCTTTGTTTCAACCTTAAAAGGAGTTTTCACATACACTGCAGTTGTATTTAGAGTGATTTCTTCCTGTTTTCATCTGATTCTACATTCATACAAACCCTGTTTCCATCTCCAACAGTACACGCCCACGGTGACACAGGCGCCGCTCAGACGGAGATCAAGTTAGCGATCAGTTGGGCTGCATGATTGTGATTGTAGTGGCTACAAACTCACATGGATTAGAGACGTTTTTACCCTCTTTAGCTTCAGAGGTCTGACCAGATGTTCACATGCAGGTGGCGCCAAAATAATATGTCCAAGTCTGTCCTTAGTCAACGTTTCCATATAAGTTACAATTTCTTATTGTTTTGCCTAACTGACAGGGAGATCTCTGCAATATTTGCTTATTGTATACTTTGATATGCTATTATTCATTAGGTTCCTATTATTTCTGTTCTAACTTTTTGCACTGAAAATGAGTTTCAGCACAGTGACATTCTATTTTTCTCTATTAAGCAAAACAATTGAACATTACTGGCTAAATGTGGTATTTATTTATAGTTGAATTGCAATGTTTGTCAGATATACGCAACTCAAACTCGCGCGGCTAACACTACCTCACAAGTGATTTGTGCACACACCGCGAAATCGGGGTACCTAAAACTAAGATACATTTGCTAAAGTTTAAGATAAAACTACTTTAAACTAGTGAAATTACTGTATCTGTCTATGCAGCGAGATAATTTGACTCGGTAAATTTTCTTTAAAAAAGATCATTATTTCTTGAAACAAGAAAATCAAAATAAATAGTTTTAGGCTTATAGGGCAAGCCAAAATCACCAAGCCTTTTGCACAGCATGGGTATTCCCAGGCTACACTCAAAGTGCTCTGAAAACAACTCTGAATGCGTGAATGACAGAAGGACTCTACTCTCAGTCCTTTCCACGTCTTCTGTCTGCTTTAAATGTCTCTGCTGTGTTTTGTCTCGTGTTTAGTCTGTGGGAAGCGCTACAAGAACCGTCCAGGCCTGAGCTACCACTACACCCACACTCACCTGGCCGAGGAGGAGGGAGAGGAAGAGAAGGAGCCGGAGATCACACCGTCCCCACCGCCGCCTCCAGACACCCACAAACGTAAAGGACAACACATTCACACAATATTTATGAAAAAAATGATAAATGTGAATAATAGCTTGAATCGAGTGGTTTTGATCTTGATTTGAGAACATTCTGACTATCCTAAAACAAAACTAGCCACATTTTTTTTTACGACCTGTGTTGGTTTTTCACCACAGGGAAGGAAAGTATGAAAAAAAGGGGGCAAAACAAAATTCTAGCATTCAAAGTCTTCTGAAGTCACTAGACAAGGGCAACCAGGACCAGAAGGAATCGCATTATAAACGACTACAGCAAGGTTATCATCCTTGTTTAGCAATTTAAACATTTTCAAACATAAGGAAAGGAGATGTTTAAGGTGCTAAAGATATGTTTTCTATCAAGATGCAGACGACAAGTTGGGGTCTGATTTACTCACAACATTTTACTTTTTTAACAACATGAATGACTTTCTGTTGGGACAAACGTGTTATTTTTAAATCATACATACTCATATATAGATTACTTGCACTAGAATATGCAGCATGTTATGCTAGTTAGAGATTTATTTTATTTCAGTATAGAGTTATTATTCCTTTATCTTGTGCTGTGTGCTCCCAATTGCTACTGTCTGTAACTTGTGATGCAACACTGAAAATTCCCCTCTGTGGGACGAAGAAAAGGATCTCATAATGGTAATCTTAATCTGGGTTTCAATATCATCTCTCCGAAACAGCTCAGAAAGCCCCGGACGGCTCCATCATCCCCAACGATTACTGCGACTTCTGTTTGGGCGACCAGGACTCTAACAGGAAGACGGGGCAGGCTGAGGAGCTGGTGTCCTGCTCTGACTGCGGCCGCTCCGGTGAGTACAGCCTCAGAAACAGACCCAGAGCTCATTTATCAGGGACTTCAGCCACAAGGTGAATCTGTTTTGTTCTCATCAATTTTTAGCCAAACATTGTCTCCAAATTGTGGTATTTCTGCTTCAAATTTTGTTCGTTACAACTGATTGTAGATATGCTGTATATTGGGGTATACTGGGGTTTGTATATCCTGCTGAGGCTGTGCTTCCCCTTAAACAGGATCTTTGTAATTTTATGTTGTAGAATGTCTGATCATTTCAATCTGTAGAAAATATATGGATACATGTGAAACATCCAGTAAGAGATGAACAGAAAGTGTACCACTCCCATCTGGTACAAGTGGGACATTACATTCTGATTTGATCATAATAAGCATTAAAGGCAAAAAACAGCTCTGTCCATGACATCATAGTGTAAGGAGTTTTATAACGGGGGATTTGCCAGAAGGGGCGGGGCGATGTCTTTGTGGCAGAAGTTCCTGATATTATGGTGGATTATTGTGGATGCCTCTGAGAGCAACTCCATCAAAACAAAAGATGTGTGTCTTAGATATGTCTCTATGTTGATGTTGCTGTGTGTGCGCCCCCTACAGGCCACCCGTCCTGTCTGCAGTTCACAGAGAACATGATGCAGGCCGTGAGGACGTATCAGTGGCAGTGCATCGAGTGCAAGTCCTGCTCCCTGTGCGGCACCTCCGAGAACGATGTGAGGGCCACATCTGCACCTGCTGCAGTTCTAACATGGAACTTCCACACACATCCACATGAGGACATCCACAGGGCTGAACAATACCATTTCATATCTCCATATTCATGGCAGATATATCTATATCTATACGATACAATATTACTTCAGGCATACAATAAGGCATTAAGGCAGGGGTGTCAAACTGGTACTCAAAGGGATTACATTCCAACCCAAGCAGGAGCACGCCAGACTCCACCCATTTCCTCTGGTGAATCCAGTTTTAACCTGAAGATTGGAGGAAATGGGTGGAGTCTGGTGTGATCCAGTCTGCAATCAGGTCTACAGTTGGTTGACCAGAATGGTGCATTCAAAGGCAATCGTAAAAATTTAAAAAAAGGTTTCTTGTGAATGCCAGAGCTGTACATGCAGGGCATGCGCGAGGCAAATATATTGTTTATTCTGTTGCTTTTTCAATATTTATAATGTTCACATCTTGCTATCAAAACAATAACAATATGTGTGTCAGCTCTAAAGCCAAAACACACCTGGATCTGTTTTTAGACCTGTGCAAGTCTGTATGGCTATATGTAGAATGAGCTCTGCGTATATTCACACATCACATCACACAATGCAGAAGTGTTCAGTTTACACCATAGGCTACTTTATATAATGCACATAAACCGCTCTCATTGTACATGCAGTATCACCTGGATTGAAAACTATATTTGGACTGTAACTAACTTTACCTCAATTTGACCACAATTAAGTTGAAGTGAATATTGTTATTGTATTACATGAAAATACCCCTTACTTGGACCTGGACCGATAAAAGTGCTGGTCCTACATTTATAACAAACCATGAGTCTATCACTCTTTTTCCTTTATATATAACACGTTGATTTGAAATATTACCAAATGTCATGTACGGTTCGTTTAAACTATTATTATGTCTCCAAGTTGTCCCAAAATGTTCCAACAGGTACAATGATTGGTATTGTACTTCCCCCTGACACCAGTAGATGGAGGTGTTTATGTACTTTTGTGTTTGTGTTTGTAAAATGAACACAGTATCCCTCTTCATCAGAGTTATATTCAGAAAATTAGCCATAACAGGCTAAATCTATGACATAATCAGCTTTATCTATGATGTGTTTTAAGACTGTAAAACCCCTCACCACACATCATACACACTTTCCTATGCTTAGTAACATTTCTAACGAAAAAAGATAAGTTAACTTCAAAGCACGGCTAACAGGACTACCTAAAATCTTGGTATTTCATCCCAATGCAAGATAACCCATGTCTGTTATCCCTAAGGTTAACCCTAAAAGACCAAGATTTAAGAGAGTTCCCACGGCTAACCACTCTGACTTACTGTAATTAACTTAACTTATAACTTGTTATCATCTGCGTAGTACAATCCCTCATTCAAAATGTAAGGAGTAGAAAGTACAGATATTAGGGTTTAAATGAAAAGAGTAGATTGTACACATAACAAGTCAAGTAAAGTTCTAATATGAATCCTGTGGTCTGGTGTATTTTCTCAGGACCAGCTGTTGTTCTGTGACGACTGTGACAGAGGATACCACATGTACTGCCTGAAGCCTCCCATGACCCAGCCCCCAGAAGGTAATTTGTGTGTGTGGGTGTGCGTGTGTAGGTCTGGAAACAGCCACACGACTTAAAACACAAACACAGACAAATCAAGCGTATTGTAACGATCCTAAGATCAAAGTCTTGTCTGGACATGTGTGGAAGCAATGTCCAGACAACCCGCTTCATATCCACACAGATTAGATAAACAAGGGCTCACAGTGGATTATCCTCAGGCCGCCAAGATCCTTTTATGTTTCCCTTGTTTTCCCTTACATACGGCTAGGAGGGTAGTTCAGGATCAGAAGTAAGAAGAAGTCACAAACTAGGAAATGGCTTTGACAATTGGTGTAAAACAAGCTAAAGTAGAGAATAGAATAAGCCATACCATCCATCCATCCATCATTTCTTCTACCTTTAAAGACTCAAGACAGACATTAGAATAATAATTGTATGATTAAGCATGAATATATTGTAGCTGTATGACGAAGGCAATTAAGGCCCGGCAGACGCAGGATGTGGTACAGTACATTGCATTTGCCTTTGAGACCATAAATAATGGATAAGATTGTGTTATTATGTTATGCAATGTAGTTTTTGTATGTACATATTGTGAGTGTATGTCTGGTGACTGTGTTGTCTGAAAAAATTGATAATATTTGCGGATTGGACCCTAGCAGAAACATTGCGTGTCGTATGCAGTAAGGAATTTATTATTATTACATTGAAATTTCCCCATTGTGGGACAAATAAAAGATCTCTTATCTTATCTTATCTTATTAATACATTATGAAAGTCCAAACCCTCCAGGTCTAGACCCACACACACATACAACACAATTTGAAAGAAAAACCTCAACGCATTTGTTACACAGTAGAACAGTAACACAATGCAGTATCAATTATGGTACAAGACAAGACACACCTCCTCATACTTCTTCACTACTTCTTTTTCATGCAGTTTTTTTAAGCGCAGTCTATTTTGAACGTGTATTTTAAAGGAGCAGCTCCACGTACTGAGATACACACACATTTCAAAGCAGTGAATGATCATGTGTTGTGCGCGTGTGTTCCTCAGGGAGCTGGAGCTGCCACTTGTGTCTGGACCTGTTGAAGGACAAGGCCTCTGCGTTCGGGGAAGTGTGACGTGGCGGTGACCCAGCGAAAAGGAAAAACACATTTGTACATTGAGTAAAGTGCTTGTACCAGTTGAACATGAAAAACCACCGACCGCATCACAACGCCAAAACAAAACCTGCACGAGTTCAAATGACCGCAGTATTACGCAATTGTGGATTATTGGAGTTTTTCACTCTGTGTGTGTGTGTAAGGGTTATCCAAAACAAATGCAGTTATTTATTTAGCCCCGTCCACCCGAACTAGTGCTCTCCCTCTCATGCTCGGTGTTGAATCTGACCACTCTGTAGAGATCTTTTCTGCCTTTTTAAACAAATTCCTGGTCATTTTAGTTCTAATCATATCCAGGACAGACAGTGGTTGTTAAGGCTGCATGTTCTCATTAAAAAAAAACAATATATTACGGTATTAATGTTACTGTTGGCCCTTAACGTGCACTTGGAGAGCACATAGCCCACCAACACAACGGATTCTTCTTACCATCACGATTCATCCACACACCACATTTCAGATCAGTCCGTCCAGCCGTGTTTGAGCAATCCTGCTTCAGACACACACACAGAGGCCAATTCAACATTTAATTCAATTAGCTGTAATACAATAAGAGATTTTTAGATGAAGCCACACTCCCATCTAGTGGTAGAAATGGAAAATGACATTCTGCTTTTGACGCAATCCAACTGAAGGCATGCTGAAATTCCCATAACAAATTAAGAGCCAAAACTTTTCTTTTAAAGGCAGAACACATGACTTGATAGTGTAGCCAATCTGAAAACCTCGACAGAACAGATGGGCCATTGCTTTCTCTGTGGGGTCATGTTGGAATACTGCCACATCCTGGAGGGCCGGACGTTTTTTCACATGGCTACATTTTAAATTATTTTGGCTAAACATGCGTACAAATCTGGTATATAGTGATAGTACAGTGCAAGCTTCTTCAGTTATTAATGTAACAAAAATGAACATGCCGTAGTAGCACATAGAGCAGGGGTGCCCAAAGTGGGGCCTGCGGGCCAAAGTTGGCCCGCCAGACCATTTCAGTTGGCCCGCCAAACATTGCCAACCTCCGCTATAAGTTCCTATCTGCGTCCCTCAGCCTCGCTGAATTAACAGTGACATGTCTGAGGTTTCGCGGGCGCATAGTCGCCCTCTGAGTTACGACTGTCCAGTACTTAAGTGTTGTATCGAGATACACTCCTCAATCATGGTTCACATCAACTTGCACTAAAATTTTTTTTTTAAATCAAACACATCTTTCAAAACAATTGGGTGCAAGGCCCATTTATGTTTTTTTTCAGCCTACTATTATTATTTTTTGGAGCTATTTAATGTTTTATCAAATTGAGAGGATTGTGCTGGCGAACTGCCACTCCCCCTCCTCACCGGAGGGAAATGGTGAGTGGAACTATTCACCTGCGCTATCCGCACCCACCCGGTGTGTTAAAAAGGACGGACACAAACACTTCAGAGTGAGTTCAAGCAGGACAAGCAGGGATCGCAGCGCACGATCCACGCAAGTAGAAGCAACAAATACTGTGAAAACAAACTCTTCTACAACCCCATGAAAGAAGCCGGTAAGCGCCGTCCTCACTCGCGATCATTGAATGTCAGAACTTACGCGGAGTTTTATGATGCGTTCAAGAGCCCTTTGGAGGAGCGGAAACTCGGACTCTTTAACAGTTACTTTGTTTTGATTATTTATAAATGTTGTACTGTGTTTAGGCAAAACAAAACAAAACTCCAGGAAAAAATCATGGTTAACTAGTCTGATTTTGTTAGTTTAATATTCAGTTCACTACTAATTGAGAATACTTGTCCTATGTTAAAACAGAGTTAAAACCTGATCATGTTTAGAAAATGCAGTTAGCAATTATGTTCCCAAATTCATTACTTAATGTTAAAATGTATTGTTTAAAAGTGTGCTAAAACCAGATCTATTGATCAGTGATGTCTCCCCTTTTTGATAAAAGCTAAGATAAAGTAATATGATTCAAATGTAGTTAAAACTTTTGTTCAAAATAAATATATGAAAATAGACTTGGAAATTGCTTTGGCTCAGTGCAACAGAGATAATAAAAAAAGAATAAAAAACACTTCTAAGGAATAAATTTAAATTTAAAATAGAGTTACAGTTACTATTTACAATATACAAGTGCACATGGTGCACACAAAATGTATGTTTCTGTTCTCTTTTTGAGGTTTTATTATATGATTTTAACCTTTAAATAAGCCATGACAGAAAATCTCCCTCCTCTGGACCCTGATTACCCGACCGGAATCTTTCCGTACTGTAGTCTCCTCAAACCTGCATATTTCCCTGGAGTCTCCACTTCACTAAGACTGTGTTGATTTAATTCATTCAGCTGTGATTTGCACTGATAGACAATAATTAATGCATTTAAAAGAACTTGATCAAATCTACATTTATTTGTGTTTCATGCATAATATTGGTGTATTTGGCCCGCGGCCCACTGGCAAATTTTAACTTTGGCCCTTGGAAGCAAAAGGTTTGGGCACCCCTGACATAGAGAGTCAGTTGGGTGTTGACTCGCACACATTTGAATCTGTACATGGGGCAGTTTGTGTGTGATCTTTCGGTAAAAAAAATCAAATAAAATCTTCATATATTAATGATTGTACGCAAGCAAGTTCAAGGTATTAATACTTTCGAGAGGCGCTGTGTTAGCGTGGATGGAGCAGGTCTAGTTTTTTAACACATTGCAACATGCTAATAACTTTTTTTTTTTTAAATGGCAGAATTTATCTCCTCACACAAAGAACACATATTGCATTCTAAAACATGACAAAGTAATACCATGAAGTAAATAATTTCAAGATTATGGGTAATGTCCTGAAGGAATTTTGGTGTTTCCACATTTCAGAGTGGTGTTTTTGAACTCCTGCAGGTTGACCAGTGGTATACACAGTGCATTAGCAGGCTCAGGGTCGATCTTCTACCTCTCAATAGCCAAACACACAAAGCCTGACCAGCCCACTCACTCAACATCTCAAACACATGTGTCATTTCAAACTCTCTCACAAGTCCTCCGATGTATTTCACTATATATTGAGCATTATTTATTTTACAAGGAGGAATGACATTGACTGAAATTATTTTCCAGATGTTCTTCCATGTATTTCAGCAAAATGGGCTTTATTTTAAATGTTTGTGTTATTTTGTCTGATTTTTTTATTAAAGCTGGGATACCTATCTTTAAACCACACTCAAATAGCAACTCACAGGGCTCTTTCTCACTAGTATGCAAAAGATAACATGTTTTCTAATAATATAAAGGTGTGGTCTGATTTGTTCTTCACATTTAACTTTGGCAAGATTTGTTCTGTTTTACATGTATTATTTAAAAGTTGGGTTCCACCTTTTATGCTGCAGAATACAATTAATAGTGATAAAATTAACAACACGAAAAAATCATTATTACATTGAGATGGACTCCTGAAAAAAACCCCAATGGAAGCAAAGACTTAAAAACCTTACAATTGCTAGAGTGGGTTTGGCTGGTCAGGCTATAATCATCATTTGTGTATTTTCATGTGTTTTTTTGTATTTTTCTTTCTACCTCGTCGGCCACAAGCCAAAGCACGATCAAAACATGATAAAAGTACATTCTTCCAAAGGTCCTGTGTTCAGCTAATGCTCATATTCCTCCCTTTCTTTTGAAATCAACAAAAAATCTTTTTTTTTTGTAAATTTGTTGAGCAGGGTGTCCAAACTTTTCCATCTGGGGCCACGGACTGACGGCAGTATTTATGTATGTCCAGTGTTTTGAATTCAACTGTTACAACTTAGTATTATAACGCATGGGCTGACATGCTTGCAATCTCACTCTTGCCGGTGGTTGCGTACCCGGAAACAGAAACATACATTGAATTAGTAGGCGTCACTACGTCCGTTAATATTTACAGTCTATCATTACAACATCTGTGCATAATAACAATATACACATCAGAATTCAGAGTCTAATCTGGGCCAAGTTGATCAAAAGGTCTCATTTTGCCTTTGGTATTTAGATTTGACACTGTTTAGATTATGATAAAGCTGGGGCAACCTGACTTTCAAATCAAACTATTTAACCATATGATAAAAATCCACTTCACTCGTTCCTGGCTACAAAACCGTTTCGTTCTATCTGTAATTTTCACACGCATATATTTGTGCTCTGTCACATCTTTTGCTCAGCTTTTTCAGATTGACATGTGAAAAACGAAGGACCGGCCAATCAGCTCACAACCTCTCTAAGACCGAGGTAACTTCAAATGCACCTATTTAAGAAATTTTCAATAAATGACATTAAAATTATGTCCCATTCCCAGCACATTCTCGTGGTGCAACAAGCCAGCATCCACAGAATAATACAATCAAACACTGCCTGATATTAAAGGCTGTATATTTTATAGTAAGTTGTGACGCTAAAATGAGAAACACAATAGCTGACTGGAATCAAGGAAATAGATAAAAAGTAAAATTGTCTTTGAGGTCAGTGACTAATTTCAATAAATGTAACAATTCTTCTACTTTTGCGCCTAAAGGGTTAAAATCCTCCAGAGTGGGACACATTAAACAACACAATTCCTTTTATTTAAATTATTTCAAGGTCTAAAAGTTTCAAATCGGTGCACAATCCTGTATAACATATCTACCAGTCAGTATGTTTTCTAATTCACGTTTAAAATGGCTCTGATGTTGTGTTTGGACACTCTTGCTCCGCAGATCTGGAACGTATCACAGTTACCGTAGCGACACCACTGTTTACGTCGCCCGGAGAGTCTATTTGTTTACTTCTCTGCATGGTCATTTTTTATGTGAGACTTTTGTATCTTTTCAAGTATGTGACATTGTGTACAAAAATAATAAGTTTAGTGTATAAAATATATACATTTGGGTTTTTGTTCAGGTACACTGTGAAAAAGGAAAAGTTCTATATTTGAGCTCTAATCCTCATGGAGCTTGTTTCTATGGTTTTACTCCAAGTCCAACCTCCGACTCTTATAACTGCTTAATCATTATAATTCTGGATTATTTATTTTGCTGCAGTGGATTTTCTTCTTCACAGTGTACACAGCCAGTGTTAATATTTTAATGAAGAATTAAAAAAACAAAACACAAAAAAACTTGTTCCTGTTTTGCCCCGTGTAAAGTTTGGTTGTCATGGAAACGTTTGATGTTATATTTTCCCCTCGGACAATCAGTGTGTAACCGTCTTCCGACTGTAGTCATACATGATGTTGTCTGCTCTTCTTGTTGTTACGTTTTTTTGTGTTGAAATAAATGATTCTTTTTCCACAAATTTTGTTGTTTATTTTAAAGCTAAAGATTTGGGATTAATAATTTTGTTTAATAAATATGTTTTTTTTTATGTATTCTTACCCACAAGTATGGTAAGTAGATAGTATAGACGGCGATATTGAGCAAGTGGTGAAAAGGTGGTACTGCACCCTAAAACTCCCCAGAAAAGAGACGGCGCTCTTGAGCAAGTGGTGAAAAAGTGTTACTGCACTTTTTTTTCAAAGAGTTTTAATGAGTTAGCTTCAGTTGACCCTGTGTGTGTGTGATAAAGTAAATGCTTCACAGTTGTCTAAAGTGATTTATGATCACGGTTTATTCTAAAACAGTTAGGAATAGCTAAGCTGCAGGGGAGGACCTGTTAACGACACTTAGGTGTGTGTGTGTGTGATAGCCTTATCATCATGATGAACGGTTGGGAGGGCGTACTAACAACAAATCAGAATGGGTGGGAGGTCTGTTTACACCGTCGTCCCTGAAATCACCAAAGCCATACTATACTTACTACAACTATACTTTTATGTGCTTCTAGAATTGCCCGGTTTCTACTTTGACGTGGAGAAGAATCGTTACTTCCGCCTGTTGCCGGGTCACAACAACTGCAACCCGCTGACGACGGAGCAGCTGCGTCAGAAAGAGCAAGAGAAACAGAGACTTCAGAGTCTGGAGAAGGATGACTGTTCCACAAGAGTGAGCAACACAGACTAGGAACCAAAGACAGAACAAGAGCTGTGTCTTTATACTGTATGTGACGGTACAGTCATGTAAAAAAAAAAAGGATTTTAAGGTCATTCCGGGCCAGAATTTGCAGCCAATGAACGTCTTTTAGATCCAGGTGTAATGGGAGATCTTATTGCTTATCTTAAGGTTTTTCTGCCTTTTACACAGTCCAGTTTACTTCATTGCGGGCTGTTCCTCTGTTTTTGCGTCTTTCCTCTTCTCTATATTTCTGTCGCCTGACATACATTATCATGTAGAGTTGATACAATTGGCTCATGTCTCTCTTGTGTTGACACATTTGAGAGACATTCAGTCCAATAAATGGCTTTGGACAATCATGAACCACAGCTCTCCAATGAATGGGTAGTTCCCAGACTACTTCATAACTTAATAATCACCACCATGGTACAATGGATTATTATTTTTCTGATTAATACAGCTATATTACAGAATACACATATTGTGTACACATTTATTTATCACAGGGTTATATATTGTATAAACAGAAATTATGTTGTCATGTTTATGTTGAAGACATAATTTCACATTCTGAACTTTGTTGTTTCAACAGAAAGCCCCAAGATCAGGACTAAACATGACACTGCTTCTACAGAAAAGACAGTTTGGGACCGTTCCCAGCAAATCCTACTGCAGGTGTGTTTTGTGGAGTGTGTTTATCAAATATGATTGTGAGATCAATAAATCTCATGTGATTGTAAATGTCTTTACTTTTACTGCAGGATGGTCCACGAGGTGAAAGTGAGCGGGATGAGGCGACACAAGCTGGAAATCCTCAACACGGATCATAACAGCCAGAGCTCAGACAACTTCAGGATGATGGTGGTAAGAATGATCAGCACTTAAAGCTGGGGTCCTTAAAGCCTCTTTTTCACTGCACCTTTTTTTATTTGGTGGTTATGGATTCAACCATAAACCGCTCTGCACCAGATTGCAATGGAAATGTAAGCAGGGCTGAGTTGGGGCAAGGGGGGAATGCAAAATAAGACTTTCGAACTACAACAATGAAACTATGTCATGAAATCCAACTTGTTTTGTTACATCACTTCACATGCATGTTTTTGGCCTTGGTCACATCTTTAGAACATTTTTTCCAGTGAAAGAGAGATGTACACCCTCACTTAGCCCAACAGCCCTCAGCCGGGGTTAAATGGCCCCTCGACCAGTCCAAACGGCTAACCTCTGTTCACCTTGTTATAAGGGAGACTCATCATGTGAGCGGGTGTTCACGGTCAGCGACGTCTCTCACGGAGGAGCCAAATACGGAATCATGAACTTCAGCAGCAGGACGGCGAGCCCTCTTGGCGTGGAGATGTGCGACAACCTGTTCTTCACCAACCGCAAAGTAAGACACACACAATACAGACTTTCCCTATTTACAAACCCACTCTTTTCCTCATAGTTTACAACGGACCAAACCTGGAGCTACAATGTCTCAAAGGTCCAGTGAGAGTTCTCCTTTTTAGCGCCACTTGGGTCATGGAACGGAAAGAGGGAACTGGTTTTAGTCCCGGTCTCATCCTAGTCCGGACCTGACACAGTCCTGTTTAAGTTCTAGATCAGTCGCGGGTTAGACGGTCAGACCCGTGGCTCACATTTCTATATGTTGCTTCTCCCATGGTCGCGGAGACGGTGTTAGGGCCCTATTTGGATGCGTCTTAATTTGTGCCGTCTCTCCATAAGTTGCGTTTGAGTATGAAATGTGCTGTATAAATAAATGGCCTTTCTTCCTAGAGTGAATTAAAATGTTCTTGTTTCTCTCAGGTGAACTCTGTTTGCTGGGCCTCAGTTAACCACAAAGACTCCCATGTTCTGTATCCTTATTCTCCTCTCAGTTTGTAAAGAGTTTTCTCGTTCTCTGCATCTATATTTGACAGAAGCTTTTAGTCAGTGGGGACTATGGGGCTCCTAAGTTCAGAACATGTTTTGGACAGTCCACCTTGTCCTCAAATGGAGCCAGACTATACAACGCTCTTCCTAGTGACCTTAAACTGCAAACCGACTTAAACATCTTTGATCTGACGTCTGGGTTGGACTGTGGACTAATGTGACATGTGTAATGAATTTTGAATTTGATGAATAATATATTTTTGTTAATGTTATTGTATGTATTCATGTCTTAAAAGCCGCCTATGGTTGAAGTGTTGAAAATTAGCATGGTCTTGCTCTAACTCCAAAGGCAGTGCATCTGGGCTTTCCAATGTAACTGTTGTGTCGATGTGAAATACATTAATAAATCCTGGAGCAGCTTAAACTGCATATAGTAGAAAGTTGAATATTCTCCTCGAGTCCCTTTTCTTTGACTGTGGTTCAGATTGTGTTTGGTTGGAGGTGCGGACACTCCAGGCTGCGTCAGTTTACTCCCAGTGTCTCTGTACAGTAACTCCAACCCAGGTAAAAGCATGTGAGATTTCTGTCCCTGATGTATCGAGGAGTTTGCCTCTTTTACAACCGTCCTTTTGCACTCTTCTGTCCAGAGCATTCGGAGACGCTGTGCAGTTTTAAAATCGCCTCCGCTTTTTCCTGCTCTTGGTGCCAGCATCCACAGTTTGACAAAACCTTCAGCACAGGTGAGAAGGAAGGCAGGAGATTATTATTATTATTAACAAACGTCGGCTGTCAAATCACAACTGTGTCGACGTTAAAGCTGGGTTGTTTCATCAGTAGTTAATTTTATTAGAAAGAGTCTGTATTATTTTATTAGAAAATATGTAATCGTTTGCGTACTTCCCAGAAAGAGCCGTGTGTGAGTCACTGTTTGACTCTTCGGGCTGAGGTGATTGGCTGAGTGAAGGCAGCCCTCTGTGTCTCATTTTTTGATCAGCTTCTTCAGACTGACAAGTGAATGAATTGTGTTATACAAATAAACTTGCCTTGCCTTGTGAAGGAGGCCCAAAATGCATGCGTGTGAAAACGAGGGACAGAACTATGAGAGGGAGAAACTAGTTGCTGGTAAATTTTATTACGAGTTATTAAAGAGTATAAATTTGGGTACCCCAGCTTTAATGTCCATGGAACAGGGTGCCAGTCTAATCATCCTAGTCATTTTGAATATTTTATTGTAACAATGCTTTTTTGCATCTTTTGTTTCATGGCAAGAGTTCCCCATTTATTCTTCCTTACTAGAATGCATGTTTTTTTTTTATTTTTGTACAGGTTTGTCTCAGAAGATTATAGTGAAGGATGCAGAGAGCGGACGCACTCAGACATACAGTGTCTCCAGTGACGTTTTGGCTCAACACTTCACTCCTACGGTGAGCAATGTTTGGAATGGCTTTGTCAAAAATCCTCAGTCTCCGGCCCTCTCTCCTCTGCTCCTCTCACTTCTCCGGCCCTTTCTCCTCTTTCCCTAGTCTTTGCTTCTCTTCTCTCTCCCTGGTCTCAGGTCCTTTCTCCCTGGTCTCTGCTCCTCTCCCTTCTCCAGCCCTCTCTGCTCACTCCTCTTTCCCTTCTCCGGTCCTCTCTGCTCTCTCCCTTCTCAGGCCCTCTCTCCTATCTGCTCTCTCCTCTCTCCCTGGCCTCTGCTTTCCTCATCTATCATCTTCTTCTCCCCAGTCTCCTCTCCTCTTCAGCGGATGCCGGTCTGGGGAGATCTTCAGTCTGGACTTGAGGCAGCGCAGTCGCAGAGGCCAGAGCTGGAAAGGTCAGAGGTTCCAGCAGGAGTCGGCCATCACCTCCGTGAGAGTCCTGAACGATCAGAACTACCTTCTGGCTGCAGACATGAGTGGACAGGTCAGCACTCGTGTGGGTTTAGGACCGGAACAGTTTCAAATTTGAGACATTTGAACCTTTGCTGAAAACTGGTCACTTGTCTCGGTCCTTGAATGTTTGTTTGTGGTGTTGCAGATAAAGCTGTGGGATGTGCGTGTGTCGCGGCCAGTGCAGCAGTACAAAGAACACTACAATGAACACGCTCTGCTCCCGGTGCACGTCAACGAAACAGAGGGACTCGTACTCGCTGGTGAGCGTCCACAGCAGGTTTAGACATGCCTTAATTCAAATGTATGTCATGATTCACAACTAAACTTAGTGCATACAGTACATTATAATGCACTGCGTTTTTTATGCCAAACGTCAAACTGTACCCCTTGAATATACCAAAATCATCACATATGAGAAAATGTTTAGTCTTTGAGATCTACCAATAGAACATTTATCATTCTCTCTGACAATGTTTAAAACCAGGTTAAAGACAGTTCTGTTTAGCTGTGCATACAACTGAGGGATTTTATATTTGTATCTTTCTTTTTAATGTTCTGTGATTATTTATGATTTTAATGCTTTCTTATTTTGTTCAGCACTTTGAATTGCCTTGTGTATGAATTGTGCTATATAAATAAACTTGCCTTGCCTTGCCTTGCCTTGCCATTATTTCAAGCAAAGGCGCATTGTCTTTTTCAGCTATTTTTCCTTGGGGCACTTTTAAGCAGTGACCCCGCAACTTCCCTCTCCACAGACACTTCCTCCAGCTCATTTGGCCAAAGAAAAAAAAGTTTGAAAGTTTGAAAATGGGCACAATTGTTCTAAAACTGTTGCTAACATTTTCTTTTTTCTTGGTCTCCACAGTGGGCCAGGACTGCTACACACGCATCTGGAGTCTCCGAGATGGCCACCTGCTCCGCACCATCCCCTCCCCTCACCCCACAGCCAACGACCTCATCCCCAGCGTTGTCTTCTCCTCTCATCTGGGAGGAGCCAACGGAGCCCCAGGACTTGTGATGGCTGTGAAGAATGAGCTCTTCTTCTACCCGTACAGAGGATCCTAGGAACTGAGCCCAGACACTGACCCTCACAGAGCCTTAAAGGGCACCTATGATGCAAAACAAGCACTTTCTGTTGCTCGGGCCGGTGGATTGATACATTATTTTCATCGTGTAAAATATAATAATATTGGGAGGAAATTTTTACTTCAGAATTTTACCATAATAAGTATATGAAGAAAAAACTGGAACCTAGTTCACTAGGTTCCACCGTTTTCCTCTCGTCTGTTGCTCTGGTGATCAAAGATGACAGTCCATTCAAATCAAAGGCCTGAGCTCAATGGCGTATGCTCACTCTCTAGAGGCCTCTCTTGTGACTCGTTTCAGCCAGCTCTGGTTCTTCCGGTCTTTTCAGTATGTGCTACTTCCACAGGCCAGATGAACATGTGAGCGCTCAATCAGATTGAGGGCAGAACCGCACAGTGCTCAGCCACAGTCTGCCAAAAGTAATTAGAAGGAAACTACAACAACCAACCCCTGTTTTGGCTGGGATTCGAACCAGGACCTTGCTTCGGGGCGACAGTGGCTCAGTTGGTAGAGCATTGGACTTTTGGCTTGAAGGTCGTGGGTTCGAGCCCACCACAAGAACTACTTCACGCCTCCCACTGATGTCTGCTATCATTGTGTCCTTGGGCACAAGGACCCCGCTGAAAAATCAAGACTCCTATGGAGTGTGGACTTAGCACCTGCAGCAGGATAAGTGAGGGGCTGGTGCTCTGTGTATTTGGTGCAGCTCTGACTGCCACCACCGACCCAAAAATGGATGGATGGACCTTCCTTGTCAAGTGAGTCCATGACAAGGAAGACTAAAATCTTTGAGAAATCTGTAGGTTGTATGACCGCTGAGAAAGAGCCCGTTTTGTTAAAATTGAGGTCTATGGGAACATTTTGTGTACTGTGAGTTTAGTGTCCAGTTCACCACCAGGTCCGGCTTAAGCTTGCAGAACCCTATTGCTGGGCTCAGAGAGCTGTCTCACTTGCACTGTAAGCTCTAATTCAGAGTATATTTTATTCAAATAAATGTCACTCCTATGGACTCCCACTGACGCTCTTTATTGCCTGGAGCAAATTTTGATTACTGGCCTTTTAATTTTTAATTATCTCTCAATTCTTTGGTTAAAAATACATGTATATCTTAAATCCAACCCTGTTGATTTGAATGAGTTCTGTTGAAATGTCCATCCCCCCCATGGAGCTGGAAATGATTAATTTTGCAAATATGTGGTGTTCGATGCCAAAAGGAAACGTAATGAATAAAAAAGATGACACATTCAATTGTTACCTTTAATACATAAGACATAATGTGTTTTACATGTTGTGGCTGCAGTCGTTCGATCTTCCTCTCATTCAAATACAGGAGAATAAACAGGATTCTACTTGTTTCCACATGTTTTCTTCAGCATGTCTGGTTTCCAGCAGGAAAAACACTTTACAGCTAAACTTAAATACTTAACACAGGTGTGTCCAAACTTTAGTCAGAGGAAAGGTAAAGATTTACCAAAATGATCAAAACTTCATCTTGTGCAGTTCACTAATGGGTTTCATTGATCTTTCTCATTAGCACTGTTCATTCCTGTGCAGTTTATGCTTAGCTTGAATGTTCATTGCATTATATTTTAAATAATGACTTTACTCACATCTAAATCGTTGGTGGAAGATAAAGGTCTTTATATTCCTTTATCATTTATACAGAATAAACAAACACTGACTTTTGCCTTGAAACAGCCATATTTGACCAAATCACCTGCACAAGAACAAAACAGACTTTGGACCTTTCCTGGTATAAGTAGATGATCTGTGTCAAACTTTGGAATGAGTCTTTTATTAAGCATTTGCATTTTAATAGTTTTACAGGGGAAACAATTAAAAAAGGCAAACAAGTTCAAGAAACAGTCTTTTTACCTGATTTGAACACATAGGAGCGGATTGTCAGCAGAGGGCAGTGTTTGCATACGAACGTTTGGAAGCATAATGTGAGGATTAAAGGCTAAATCTTACATTACTTAAACATTAAGCTTGACATTGTATACCTTTTACAATCCATTTTCAAGTTCACAGGAAGTTAAGTAATCTTGTTTCAAATGGCTTGAAATCATGTAGTAAAATAGTTTAGAATATACACTTGAAACATTTTATTTCTTTGACCTGAATGCCAAATATGATTTGTTTGTTAAAACCGTGTAGTGCAATACAAACATTGGGTTTTGTTTTGAGGTCGATGAAAAGAGGAAAGAGTCTCAACTTGTTTGTTTCAGGTCTTTTAAGACACATTGTTTCTGACTGACTTTTCTCTTTGAAATTCCATTTTGTTTGATACCAATGAATATCACTTTCGGGTTTGGTGCTCTGAAAAATCCAGCCGTAACAGTTTTGTATTATGTTGCTAACTAAGTGGTGTAACTCAAAGCTATGGCAGGATCTTTACTAAAATCTTCAGGAAATCTTGGAAATGCGACTAGGAACAGGTTTTTTGTCCCACTTCTAGTATTAGATAGGGTGTTACACATTCTAGTCATCTCTTTCTCCATTTGTCATGTTTTTCTGTGCATTCATGTTGATCAGTTTTGTCGGTGCTCCCTTAAGCACTTTAAGACTTTAGAGTTCTGTCCACCATCACTGTCTGTAATGAAACTATAGCTCGCCTTGCTTTTGGATTGCACACGTGTCTCTAACCCACACAGCAGTCCAGTTATAGTTATGTTCCCTGTGTTTTCCTTTGTGTCCGGCCAAACTCAGTCCAGTGTGGCCGCTATAGCTCGTCGGGCTTTTGGCAGCAGGCGTTGCACACTCGTACGGGATGGTCCCAGCCTCGTGACGGCACGGCTCTCCTCTGGGGGGAGCAGTCTTCGCACACGCCCTGACCACACGAGCGGCAGTGGTGGATGGACAGACGCGCGTTGAACTCTCGAGCGCAGCCTGAGCACGAGTGGAGGTCCTGGTCCGGGACCCAGTACGTGGGCCGAGCTGCGTCCCTCACCAAGCCTGTCAGAGGAGAAAGAACGTACATACATGTAGTTTATCCAACAGAAAGAGTTTTGTACACGTCAAATGTCAAGAACGAACCAGACCACAACATTCTGTCTTCATACTATTAGAAAACACCTTATCTTTTGCATACTTCTAAGAAAGAATCTTTAATATTGCATGGTCATGGACACATGTAAAATACTGTACCTTACAAAAACCTGCTCAGGGACCAAAGTCTAGACCAAAGCTAACTCTCAACAAAAGAACCAGTCTGCTTAAATCTGTTCAATATATAGCTACCATTCTATCTACTCAATAACAAATAGTAAGTTCTATATTTATCCCATTTTCCAGACAAAAGCTTACACAAAACACTTAAGAACTGTTGGTACAGGTCATTCACGCTACTCACAGTAATGACAGAGGCGACCGAGTCATAGTAGTGATCGTAGATTCTCACCTAGAGGTATGTCTATGGCCCCGACCACTGCTCCCAGAGTGTTCTGCACAGCCTCCCCTACTCTTCGAGCGATCAGGGTCCCCCCCTCCTCCTCCAGTGCAGCATCCAGCAGCTCTGAAATAAACCAGACCGTATTCAAGAGGACATGATTGGGACGCACTGGTGTCTTAGGTGTAAGAGATGATACTGTAAATGACTCAAACATGCACGAAACACGGGTAAAGGGGACATTCAGACTATTCAAATAATGACACACACCTATATCTTTGAGGAAATATGTAAGGGGCTGTTGCTCATCTTCACTTACAAAAAGCACAGACTTCATATTCCCACACACCCATTTCTTCACCTGAGTAAATGGGTGGAGTGTGGTGTGCTGGTTGGTTGAAATTAAATTCTGCACCCGCGTTAGCCGTTTGAGGATTGGTTTGACACCCCTGCTCTAAAGGCTAGGATATTCTTCTACAACTGTTATAGATAGTCCAGGTGTAGTCCTAAAGCACAACACAATGCTACGGCTCCGGGTATGAGTCTTTGCGCAAAGCATGCCCTCCCTCTCTTTGTGCGTCTTCTCCTTTCTCTGTGTGCGGAACTTCAGCCCGCCTCCCGGACGCTGCCATTCGTTCAAAGCCATCCTGTTTGGCCAACAGGATGTCCGCCCAAACCAATCTGCGGCTTGTTTTCAGTGCAAGTACGCCCCTCTTTGGACACTGACCTGTTTTTGAAGGCAGACCTAAAGAGACCTTAGGAGACTTTGAGAGACCATGTGAGAATTTTGATTGTGACGTAAGATATAGAAAACTTTAGTTCCTCATTTTTGACTCTATGGTTTGTGAAATACACAAATAAAAAGGCCATTTAATTTACCATTTCCACCTGGTTGTTTAGGTTAACATTTCCGCTTCTCGAGCCACATTTAGGGTTGTAAACACACAACACCCTCCTTTGTTGTAGAACAGTAAGAACGTCACCTGTGGAGATGGCTCGGTCATGGAAGCACTGGTCGCACACCCGGACTGGAGCTAGACCCCAGCCGCGCTCAGGCACCGGTCTGGACTTGGAGGAGCAGGAGTCACAGAAGCCCTCTCCGCAGGCTCGACAGTGATGCTTTGTGTCGTTGGCTCCAAACTCCTGCTTACACGCATGGCACGCCTGTGGAAGGACAGGGTCAAAGCTTCATGGTTATACAAAACACTACAGAACATAAAGGGAGTTCCTGCTTCACAAACACGAAAAGCTCACCAGGATGACAGAGTTGGGTTGCCAGTACGCGGGGGCGATCTGGTCCGTGAGCCAGGACGTGACCGCTTTCGCCGGAGTGACGCTCAGCTCCGACACGGACTGAGAGAGGAACTTCACTCCGTCCAACAGCCTCTGCGCCGCATTGCTGTGGTCCTTCAAGAAGCCATCGCTCTGCAACGACAAGAGCCCCAAGGAGAGACTATGACACACAAGGTGAATAACAGGCAGTGATGGGCGAGCAGCAGAAATGTCCAGGAGAAAAAGAGCTTTTGAGGACGCTACTCTGCTACTTGATCAATAAAAAAGCTTAGCTACAGAAATCTGCCATCACTTAAGGCTTTCCAATGGATCTAGGAGGGACCAAACTGATCACCTTTTTTTGAAATTGTCAGACTAATTTTGGTCATGGGCCGAATTAAAAAAAATAGAAACTGGTCAGGAGATAAAAGAATAGAATAGATTTATTTTTCTTATAATTGATTTTTACTTTATGAAGGTATTTTGACATTACTTTTATGTGACATGAGTTTCAGTATTATTGTCTGGTTGATTTTTTTGAAAACAAAATGTGTTTAGATTGAACCAAAACTGTACCAAATTTAAAGTTAAACATATTGATTTATATTTATACATTTTTGTTCCTATTGATGTGTTGTAATGATGAAACTTGCATCAATGCTGCAAGTTAATTGAAAATCATTTTAGTGGCCACTAAAAATTGACTTGCGGACCGGATTTGGCCCACGAGCCTGAGATTGACATGCCTGGTTCAAAGTAAGTGCATATGACAGAATGCACTGTACAACACTGCGGCCTATAGACTGATGTCGCTTTTACATACATATGTATGATATACATACATCATGGAGCTCAAAACAACTGCTGGTCTGTGACTGATTTCTTTAAAATGAATCAAAAATGAATGAAATACTTGAAATAACTTTAGGCACGTGAAAGAGAAAGAGCACATGTCTTGTTCGGATCTCACCCCCGGCCAGATGTGCTGGATCTCAGTCCGAACCACAGTCTCCACCGGGTCCTGGTTCCCATACCAGTACTGTCTGCTGCGATAGATCACCCCACAGTTTGGACACTCGATCACATACCTGCAAAAGACACAAGAGTTTTAAGAGTACGTAATCTGCACACTGCTCCTCATCAAATACGGATTAAGATGAAGAGATCCTTTACTTGTGCCACAGTGGGGAAATGTCGGTGTTGCATTGCAAGTTACAGAACAGTAGGAACATAAGATAAGCTAAATGAACAATAGCTATACTAATTAAAATAAAAATCTCTAACTCTAGCATCAAAGACACACGTTTTTACTTACTTACTTATTTACTACTATAAAATCTCTAAATTTGGCATAATCCCAGACCTGGGCTACCTCCGAATCAATAAAAAAAGACAAAGGAGGACATGGAAAAACTGTATTTATGTTGAGGGCAAACGTTTGAAGAACAATTGGGCGACAAGGTTGGCTGAGTGGATAGGACTCCGGTTTCTCAGCAAGAAGGTCACGGGTTTGAATCCGGGCCTTTCTGAGTGGAGTTTAGGTTTCCTCCGAGTGCTCCGGTTTCCCCTACCACTAAAAACATGCACAATAGGTATGAATGACAGGATGGTGTTTGGTCAGAGGTTTTAAAGTGCCAGTATTATCAGCGTGTGTGGAGTGAATTAAGCTGAACTTTCATTGTAAAGTGCTTTGGGCGACCTTGGTCTGTAAAAATGCCTTATATAAAATAAAGTTTACTCCATAAATAACTAAAAACATACAAAAACTGAACTCACCCAGACCAGGCGTAGATAGCCAGGCCGAACCACGGAGAGTCCGAGGACGCTGTGGTCTTTGGGACGACGACAACCTCCTTCCCTCCTTCATAGCAGGCCTGGAAGGTAAAGCAGGTTCCCCCCTTTTAGTCTAGTCCCATTTCCTTTACTCCTTTTGTATCCACTTGTAAAATCTAAAACGGAGAAAGTCGAGAAATGCTTCTTTGTGAGAGTGAGTGGGGGCCGACCTTGCAGGTGTAGATGCGGTTGTCGTACTGAGCAGAGTACCGACAGCGGTGTTTGGCCTCGTGCTGCTGTACCTCCTTCAGGTGGTTCATGCTGCTGCTACACCCGGACCTGAAACAACCAAAACCCTCAACTTCAGGATTGGTCTCAATGAGAATGTGTGAATGTGCATTTACGGTGCCTCTCGAAAGTACTAATACCCTTTAAACCTTTGCACATTTTGTCACACTTACAACCATAAAACACACAGATTTTGCTCTCTTTACTGAATATTCACACCTTTCCCCAACGATTAGTCATTTGGAATGCTTAAAGGCAATTTAATGCAGTATGAATACTTGAGCTATCATTTTGCTTTCACTTCAGTATTGTCTGGAACATGGAGATAATTTCCAGTAAAAATAGAAAACAAAATCTTGATGCTTATGATTGTAAATAGGGGTGGGACCCTAAGGGTACCTCACGATACGATACACGATACAAAGCTCACGATAATGATAATATCACGATAACGATTATATCACGATATGACGGATATCGATATATTGGTCAGAAATATACCATATGCCAATTTATGGCATAAATTAAAGATTAAGTGAAAAAATACACTTTATTTCATGATAAATGGAATGGAGATGCGTAATGTAGCCATAAATTAAGTATTGATACTATTTTTTTTTTTATTGAAAAATAATAATAAATTGAACAAAAAAAATATTCTTTTTTTTTTCAAAATCAATATCGCGGGAGAAAGTATCGCGATATATCGATATTGCGATATATTGTCACACCCCTAATTGTAAACACGCACAAAAGTCCAAGGGGAGTTTTCTGGGAGCACTGTATGTCCTCAAAGCCTGCTATGGACATGTGTTAATAATTAGCATGCCCTTGCTAATGAACACTAAAGGTAATGCATCTGTCCAATAATTGTTATGTCCACAATTATCAAATTAATTAATAAATACATACATATACAATATATACCAAAAATACATGGACAACCAGGACATGTCCAAAAGCCTGTAAAGAGAAGTGCAGTGGTGAAGCTCGTACCCACAGCTGAGGCAGAGGCTGGAGCAGGTGAAATACTCATCAGGGAAAAAGCAGGTGCTGTTGAGCTGCTCGTCTGGAATCTCACCGCTGAACCGTTCACTTAGAGCCTGCACAAGGAACGAGCCAGAGTGAGGACCAACTGGACTAATGTGGACAGGACATTAGGGACATGATGTTGAGACAATTATTATCAGTTTTAGAAAGATCAAAGTTGGAGATTACTAGGATGCCTAAACACAGCCAGCTAAACTACTAGCTAAAAACTATTAGCTAAAAACTACTCCAGGTTTGTTGATGAGAAACTGAACATGGTTAAATCTCAATAAAAGACCTTTTGCTGAATATGTCCTGGCCTGACCTGCAGCGCTTTGAAGATGACGGAGGCTGATCGGGGCGAGCGTGTGTTGTTGTTGTCCAGATGGAGTTCTAGAATGCGCAGGAGGCCGCTGAAGTCGGTGGGAGGGTTGTACGTGCGCGTTCCTTTGTAGTGCACGGAGCTGAAGGCCTCTGGGAACAGCCCCAGCCTCCTGAAGCGCTCCTGCAGAAGACGCTCCGTTGACTCCAGAGGTTTGTCTGAGAGCACAGAGAAGCACAGGAGGCAATCATGCTAAGAACCCTGTTCTAGTCATACTACTACTCAAGCTAAAAGTATGTGACAAAAACAAGTGCTCAGTGTCTGGTCTGATGCTGGCCCAAGCCCTGAACACAAGTAAAAGGACAGACAGGATAAAGGAGAACTTGGATCAATGGAGACAGCACCAGTACCAGCAGCACTCGAGCTGTGTGCACTGTATGCTATGATTAAGAGGAGGCAGTGTCTGCAGACGAAGCTCTGCATTTACCGCTCAGTCTACACATTAGCTTTGGGGAATAAACCAAAGGGCAAGATAGAAGTGATCAACATTTTGAGTGCAGAACTCACCTCCCCTTTCAAAGGATTTAAACATTACACATTTATTCATGTGATTATTCTTTGCTTTCCATCAAAGTGGTCTCCAAGATGCTATATCATCAATTCTTTGGATGGTTTTCTCTGATGATGAACCCCCCACCAGAAAACCAACAATAAAACAATTGATCCTGCAGCACTGTAGATACAGCCAGGATCAAAACTAAAAGCACCATGCTCCCCACCCCTACAGCCTCAGACATTATATCAACAAAAACAAAATTTCTCTTTTCTTTTTACATATGAAGTACATTAATGATAGCCTGGAGGAAGTGTGTGTGGAGACCAAAGTCTGAGTACAGGTCTAAGCCGAGGTCTTGGCATCTCTGCACAAACTACTAGATAAAAAGCTGGATAAATGGACTGATGCGACTGACCTGAGCCCAGTAGTTTGGTGTGCACCGTCTCGTGGAAGATGACAACTGCTGGCCCCAGCGTGGACAGAGGCACGTCTAGGCCACAGCGTGCGGTCGTGGCCTTCAGCTCTCTGGAGAAGTGTTTCAGATACGCCTCCGAGGCATCGCCCAGGAACTTAAACAGGTCGTCGTGGAGACGGTCGGCATGTGTCCGATAAATCACAATGTCTGAGACGGCCAAGACTTTGAGCAGCAGACGAGTTCGCTGGCCCTGGTTTGCTCCTGAGGACAGAACAGAAATGATTCATATATGTCGGTCCAGAATCAGAACCAGGCCCACCAAACCACCTGCTCCCGCCCACACCCATCTTTCATATATTCACATGAGTACATGTTCTCTTGTTTACTGATTTCCTCCTGGTGCCCATTTGGTCCAAATTAGTCATAGCTTCAATTTGGTGTACTGTGCACTAGTCCTAGTCCTATTCAAGGATCATTTATCCAACACTTATCCAGCCTTGGTAACACAAACAGGTTTTTTCTCATTGTAGGTGGTTGTGTGAAGCCATTTATTACTAAATAAATCTGCTTTCTATTTTCAAATGATTTTGATGCTAGAGGCTACTCTTCTGACCTAGATTAGAAGTCCATCCACCAGTTCTGAGCAGTGTATTGAACCTTTGACATTGAGATAAGTGAATAAATACACTTTATTGATTCCCCATAAGAGAAATCTACGACAGTTCGGAGACTTTTGTGGTAGTTACGGGTAAGACTCTTTATCCTCTCTGATGATAAAGCTGTCCATTCAACTTGTCAAAACGCCTTAATTTCCTGTAAATTCCTGGTTTCCCTTGCATGAACTGCACGTTTGAGATTGCTCTTTCAAGAACAACTTTAATAATGGGCCAAATGTGTCTCATTATGTCTTCTTGGAGGTCTCTGCCACTGCCCTGATCTCAAATCCAGCAGAATGGCCTATATCTCACCAGCTCCCAGCAGCCCCTCTGTGTCCACCACCACCACGTGATGCAGTGGGTCCATGGCGGCCCACACTCCCACGGTGCACGAGTCCTGCGTCGCACTGGTGGTAAAAACCTCCCGGCCCAGGAAGAAGGTGTGGTTCAGAGTGTGTGACTTCCCTTCTCCCGTGTTTCCAAAGATAGAGACCACTTTGAGCAGCTCGTCCGAACCACAGCCGAGCCGGTCCACAAAGGCCTCCGCGTCTCGCACCTGCAAAGACCTTACACTGTGATATGAGCATTGAAGGAGACCCAAATATATGCCAAATCCTCTTTTTGATCTTTTAACCATGTTACAACATTGTTCCTCATCAAAATGCAACCTGGAGAGTTGTTTTTAGATCCATCCATGATAAGAAGAACTTCTGGCACAAACATGACTCCGCCCCTTCTGTTTCAGTCTTGTAGTAGTATGTCATTGTACCACTACTTTCACGCCTTTCAAAACCAAAAAAATGCCCATCAATTTCTCAAGTGAAATTATGTTGCTGATTGTTAAGAAAGATGTGTATGCAGACGCATGTGATTATAAAATATAAAAACTCCTTCCTCTGGTGGTAGCAGCGGGTCAATCGCTTTATTTACCCATGTTACTAGTTTATATTTTCCACGGGTCCATTATCCTTGGGTCAAAATTCTCCACCAAGCAAAAATAATCAACATTCAGCTAGAAAAAAAAAAACAATTGGGTATTTTTTGATTTCATCACTGTGGTGGGTCAATTTGACCGGAGGATAACACATGGGTTAGGGGCATTGTGCAATTTTTTATGTGAAAAAGTCACAGTGGTCTCGAGGATGCAATAGGACAGGTGAAGGACAGCCAACTGGTCAAAGAGTAAGTAAGTTGAAGCCTCTCCACACTGTGTAGAGGCACACAACACCAGCACCGTGAGCTCCAGAGGTGGGACTACCACATTACGTATGTCATATGACATAATAAATATGATATTATGATCAATTGTAATTTTCATTCAAGAAACTTCCTTGAGATTTATGTGAGGAACGCTGTTGTAACAGGGTTAAAAGGTTTTTTTCATTGACCTGTCAGACTCAAAGAAAAACACTGTCCATGTGATGACCTTTGATAATGAAATAATGATTATCAACAGCCACTGAAGAGCTGCTGCTTAGAGACGGTGCTCAAGAACTGGTACATTATAAGCATTTACAAAGGAAAAAATGAAAATGTATTTCTATGGCACATTTCATACATGAACTGCAGCTCAATGCTGAACAAAGACGCTTAAACTAAACAAATCCTGACATTTAACAGGAAGTGAGCCCAGACACAACTAACAGTCTACAGAAAAGCTAGTCTGAACAAATGAGTCTATAGTTTCCTCCTGTGTCAAAGCACATGTGATGTCATTAGGCAGATAATTCTATTTACAAGGAGCATCATGGGAGAAAGCTCCACTTCAACTTTCAGTTTTACACAAGGAACGGCAAGAAGGTCCAGGTCTGAGGATCTGAGACTGTGACAAGTTAAAGTAAAGCAGATCTACTGTATATGAAGGGGCATAACCATAACTTTATGTTTCATTGATAATTTATTTGGTTTGTTCAACCCAAAGAGTTTCGCAACAGTACAAGTATATTAACAAATCAGACCCCAATATACAATCTTCATCTTAGTAGAAAAAATAATGTAAATGCCCTGTAAGTCACTATTTGACTCTTTCGGCTGAGAGTTTTTCACTTCTAAAGGACATTACAGAGGCCAAAAATACATGAATGTGGAAACTAGTGATTAAACCAAACTGTTTTGAGAGAAATATGGCCCAGATTTAAAATGAATTTGTGGATTTCATCCCTGAATTAGGAGACAACGCAGATTTGCAGGCCTGTGTAATGAAGGATATTATAGTCCAATCTTTTGTCTAAAATCGTAAGTGCTGTCTTACTGGGCATATTCTAGGGACATTGGGATTGTTTATGGTCTGGTTTGTGGCTTGATAACATTTGGGCTCGTTTGATTTTAGTCATTTGACCGGTCATCAAAATTCAAACATTGACCAAAACTATGCCAGAAATATTCTAGTCGATGACCTGAACACTGCTGAGATGTTAAAAGTGACTCTCCAGATAAATCATTGCCATTCCTATAAAGGCGTGAATAATTGCGGTACCTGCATCTCCTCCTTCTCGTCGACCAGGAGAAAGCTGCAGATGTTCTCCAGAGCTGCTCTCTGCCGCTCAGCCTCGGTGTCTCCGGCGCTGGGCTCTCTGAGAGTCTGCACCGGAGGATAGGCCGTCACAGGGTGCTTCTTCTTACTGCCTCCTCCGTGAGTCCGCTTCTGACAGTCCAGGCACAGGTTGATCTTACATCCCTGAGAGGAGGAGATGCGGATTAGTGAAGTTTACAAAAAAGAGTGAAAAATAGTCCTCCAAGCTGACTCCTCCTGTGATTTTGGACTGTGGAAAAAAATAATAGGGCAATAAAGGGGACTTGATCGCAACCGATGTATTGACCATCCCTGATGTATAGAAATCAAATTCTCAAAGTAATAATTGTATGTGTTTACTAAAAGTGTGCAAATACAGTGTAAAGTGTTCCAAAGTGTGAGTGCTAAAGCCTGGGGGCAAGGAGACTGGGCGCAGAGTGGTCAGATTGAATTGGGAGCAACACCAAATAGACTTTATGAATTGTTAACATAATCATTGAAGGATCTCCACATGGATCTATTAGGTTCTCCATGGTTTCAAAATCTCAAAAAGAGGAAGTTAGTAAGTAATCTTCATTTGTATGGTGCATTTCACAGAAGTTTGCAGAATATGAGCCTTACCTGGCACCTGACGGCAGCCCTCAGCCTCCCACTCTCTCCTTTGCAGGCGTCGCAGAAGGGAACGTGTCCCGGGGCCACCCTCACGCGGTCGTGGTTCCTCATGCGCTCCTGGCGGTGCAGTTCCAGTTCGCAGCGCTCGCACTGCAGACTCCCACATTCGTCACACTCAAACGCAGCTTCGTCCGACCCGCCGCACGCATAGCTCTCCTGACACACGAGTACGGTGTTCACGCCTCTCTCCACGCCTGGGCCACTCATTGTGCACAGTGTGGGGGCAAGAATCGCCTAATCGCACCTGAATTACTATTATTATTAAAGCGGGAGTAGTTGATTCTCAAAACACATAGGGAGCAAGGACGCATTTAAAATCATCTAACTTGTTCCCATCTCTCATAACAGCTGGATGCTATCACAAGTTTACAGTTATAGATCAGCTTTGTCAGATGAAGACGAGAGGACCACTCTAGATTATCAGTAATTGAGAGGGTTTAACATTTCAGATAGTAAAATGAATGATAAAAACTAATTTGAGCAAGAGTAGAAACAATATAAATAGAAATCCTGGATACAGTGAATGGCTTTTATGCATAGAAGTGTTAAATATTATAACTTTTTATACAATTGCAGTTTTTTTAGTTCTATATGTGTCGACTGAATGTCTCTATTTAGTATTTGACAATTTAAAACGCTAGTATCATGACACCACCAGACAGCAATACTTCTACTCAAAACATATAAACATTTCCCTTTTCAGACAGCCATCCTCACTTCAAATATAATCAATACTGACAGTTAGACCTTAAAAACCCATCTGAATTATATTTTTTGATGAGTAAAGTGTTATTTTTGTGTTAGTCATGTCCTTGTAATAGTTAAGAAACATATACAATGGTAGTTTTTTTTCCTGAATGCTGTTACTGCTAAAACACAGTTGATAAATTCTAGTTTTGAAGATAGTGTGACTAATTATTTACGATTTTTCACACTATTGTGCATTACAATGTTATTACTCAATATTATTTATTATATTCCAAGGCCACTTTTGAAATGAAATAGGCTCATGTTTCATGAAGGTCCCTCTTGTAAAAGTTGTTGGTAAGGCTTCGAGGAATAAATCTGTCAAGAAAAGAAACAACAATAATGAAAACACTTTTTGCTGTGAACATAGAAACATGGCGAGCCTATATTACTAAACTTGGAAGCAAATCTAACCACTTTTAATCTATATCATTAAACTCTGAAGTACAGCTAACCACTTCAATCCTGTATTAATGAACTTAAACCAGGACTTTGGTGAAAACAGTTGTTATCTCTGTAAAAGACTACTTTAAAACATGACACATTAAACTGAAATATGAATGCGATCAATAATGCCTTCAAAATAAGACCATCCTAGTTTGGTATCAATAGTTGGTACCCACAACTTGCTAGCTAACAGTGCCTCTCTATCCTTTGTCACTATTTTAACCCTAATGACAACACAAACAAACGACCACACTTTCTATATTTGGGACTACAGCTAAAATAATATCAATAACACATATACTATTTCAGTCCAGTTGCGAAAGAGAAGGATAGTTTCAGGCTGACCTCGTAGGAGACTCAAAACAACAACAGAAATCTGGTGCAAATCTGCCACGACAGCGAATCAAAAGAAGAAACTACGGTCCATGTGGAGACCTAATCTTCCGTGGAAAGAGTCCGAGACGAGAACGCAGTAGTATTGGCAGTAATCCTGAGTCCTGGATGTGTTTTTCAGCTGTTTGTTGTCGCTTTTACAACAGCTGATCCAGATTGTTTTCAAGCAGCGGTCAAAGGACGAGCGCGCGCGGTGCTGGGAAATGTAGTCTTTACGAGATTAGACGTATGGATTTATTTTATGGTATTCAAATATTTGGATTATTGTTCATACATTTTGTTTTATTCTTTATGATGTAATAATACGTGTAATAATTTCACAAAATAAAAATTGTACAAAAGGTTTCATTGAAGACATGTAAAGTGGGGCTGCATCCGAAATACAAAAGAATACCGCTCATTCATTCCTTTTCTTTTTTAGTCCTTTAATTTTTCGTTTAAAGCAACAGAGGGACTACTTTAGTAAAATGAAATATAAAGAAGACATTTAAAATAAAGTGTTTCTTCTGGCTCGAACACGCCCCCCGCACCTTCTGTCTGAATGCTCTGATCTCAAATTCATTACAAGCTGAAGACACGCTGTTCCTTTAAATCAACAACTCTGGTGGTAAGACAAGGCAAGTTTATTTTTATAGCACAGTTCATACACAAATCATCTCAAAGTGCTGAACACAATCGCAAAATGCATTAAAATACATGAATAATCACAGTACTAAAACGAGTGAAAAAAATCCTTCAGCTGTATGCAGAGCAACTGTTTTAACCTAGATTTGAACATTGTCAGAGAAGTAGTCTATCTCACATTTTCAAGAAGACTGTTACAGATTTTAGCTGGGAAAAATCTGAAATGTTGCCTCCCCATATTCAGTCCTGACTCTCGGCACCAGCAGGAGGCCAGTCCCTGTGCTCCTCGAAGTCAGAGTTGGTTTATATGGCACTAACATGTCTCAAATGTACTTTGGTGTGAGGTCATGGAGAGTCTTGTGCACGAGAAGTCAGTGCAGAGACCTGAGGACTAGACTGTCCCGGTCTGAAAGCACCATCAATGTTTCTAGTTGCTGAGAGCAAGGAAGGGAAAGGAAGGACATGTGTTTTTTCCTCAAATTGGATGCAACCAAAAGGGGCGTGTTTGTGCCAGAAGTTTGACATTAGCGTTAGGTTGAATGCCATTTGTCTTTCAAACTTGCCTTATAACTTATCCAATATACATATTTTTAATACGTTCCACTGGCCTGTCATATTCTTTCTACGCATTATAAAACGCCCTCATAGTGCATGTGAATAATCATTGTAAAGACGTGTGTTTTGTTGTTAGCTGTTAGCTTCAGATGCTAGCCCGGTGCAGCACCTAGCCTTGCTCTGTTTATATCTTTTTCCGTCGTACTCGCGATGGAAGCAGAGGCGTTTACGGACATCGGTGGCAGACCCATCACTTTGGACTGCCAGGATTACACCAGCTTCTGCAGAGAGTTCGTGGTGAGCTCTCCCAAAGTGTCCTTTTACAAAGTGATGTGCTGCACCAGTCTGGTGTGGCTCGTCGCCTACGGAGTGTTTTTCTTCACAGAGGTAAGTGTGTATGAGGAATTATAGACATTTTAATGCAACATTCGTTTAGTGAACCTCAGCTGGATCTCTGCATACGAAGTTATATTCAGAAAGGGAAACTGCGAAAATGATGTATGAAATGCATGTTTATTTATACCAGGCATTCCCCCAGATGTATCTGTGTTACCAAAACTAAACATGGGCAGGCTGCATTTCAGATTCACGCTGCCAAAATCTGGAACAGTCTTCCTGAAAATGTGAGGCAGGCTTCTTCAATGACAATGTTCAAATCCAGGTTAAAAACAGTTCTGTTTAGTTGTGAATAAAACTGAAGGATTTTGTCTTTACTCTTTTTAATGTACTTTGATTATTTATTATTTTAATGCCTTGTGTGTTTGAGGCAATTCCAAGTGTGTTGATCAGCACTTTGAGTTGCCTTATTATGAATTGTGCTTTACAAATACATTAGCCTTACTGAAACAGAAACCACTTTCCCCGGTTATAAGCTCAGCTAACCACTTCGAACCTGTATTAATGAACTTTAGAAGCATAACTAACCCACATAGTAAACCTCACCACTACAGCCCTCTTTGCTGCTGTTCCAGGCCACCGCAGTGCTGACCTGTGCCATCCTCGTCACGCTGATCGGCATGATGCTCTTCATCCACTGTGTGAAGGTGGACCACGAGTCGCTACTGGTCATCGGCTCTTTGGGGATCCAGGTCTCCTCCAGCTTCGCCTCGGGTCGAGAAACCTCCAGCTTTATAGAGCTGAGCAAGATCAAGGACATCGTCATCAACGAGGCCATCTTCATGGTAGGTCAGGTCTAATGGGAGATTGACTTGGATTTAATTGAAAATCATGGCTGTTTTCACTGAAATATACAAAGGACACTGTAGAAGGGGTTGGCTGCTCCTTAGTTCTGCTCCTTGATGGTTTTCACTTCACCCACATTCAGTATATGAGGAATGTGTTTTAGTTACAGTTTGTCTGTTCATGTGTTTTCAGAACCAGATCATCTACTACCTGTGTGTGCTGCTGAAAGATCCTTCAGAACCAGAGGCTGTGTCAGGAGTCGTGCCTTTATTCCAGGTAACACACAAACATCACTTGATTCTTATTTTAAATCATTACTCAAAATCTGGAATATCATGCCTACTTTCCAAAATAAAATATTAATTCAGCCAATTTTAGCTTAATCCAATTAAATCATTTATTCATTTAAGGACCCCCTCAAAAAAGATGATCCATCTCAATGGGGCTCTCATTAAATAAATATATGAATGTTATATCTCATGTTAAAGTTCAATCCATCTGATAAGTCTGTTTCAAAACCCATACATTGGGCTGTAAAACATGAAGTCATTAGTTTTGTTGTTTTCAAGTGAAAAATGAAAGTATTATATTATTTAGAATTATATATTATTTGTTTGTTTGTAGGCATGTAACATCAAATATTAGAGATTATCTTAATGTAATTTTGACAAATAGTGTAATTTATGATGAACACAAATCACAAAATATCTATCTGTTTCAAAAAATCCCATCAGTCGTTTCCCAAGGTTGATTTAAATGAAATAAATACTTACATATTTATTAAATCATAATAGGCAAATGTATTCAAATTGTTAATCATATCTTGAACAATAAATAATATAAATAATTCTACAGGCTTTTTTAAACAAGTCTGAGTGATTATTAATCATGATTCTCACTTCTGTTTTTCAGAGTTCGAAGCCCAGACTCAACTGTTTGGTGAAAGTCTATAAGAGCTGCCAAGAGGTTCTGTCCAAATGCTCCTGATTCGACCCAAACTGAGTATTTTTAAACTATGCAAAATTCAACTGTATTTTAGTCCGTTTTCAAATATAATATTGTAGTGTTATAATAGTGCCTGTTACTTAATATTTATTTATCCATTACCAAATCCAAGTAGGCCTATGTTTGTTCCTTTTAGTGGTACTTTTGTCCTCTTAAGTTTGAGAGATTCTTTATTCGTCCCACAGTGGAGATAATTCATTGTGTGTCTCTAACAGTGTCCTGCAGCTGCCTTTTCATTGTGTTATAGTAAATATTAGTAGTAGGATTGATGTCAAACCCTTTAAACATGTTTTTCTAATTTACAATGTGTATTTTATTAAAATAATCTAAAATGTGAAGTAGTTTCATGTTTTTCCAGTAGAGGGCGCACCTGACTCACTTTTCCGTTAAAGCCTTTATTATGCCCTGCTTTCCCCAAACATGTTAAAATATAGTCCTCCATATCATCCCAGCATACTTCAAAATGTATGTATGTATGTGCGTTATAACACGTTTAAGGCTGGATTACCGAAGTCTTTTGTTTCATAAAGAACACATGACTACGTCCCAACTGAAACCAATGGTGAAGGTTAAATATTGTAAACAAATCGGACTGCTGCATCCTATCTTTTAACGTATTCGGTTGTTGTTTTTTTGACACTTTTGTAGGTGTTAAAAGGAAAAAATCTCCAGTAAGGCGTTATTGTGTGTCGTGTTTTATATATTGTTGTCGGGTGCACTCTGGGTGCTGTAGCACATGTTCTCAAAAGTGCTTTTTAAACTGAATCTGCAAGTCCGGTTTATTTGTAAAGCACAGTTACCACACATGGCAACTCAAAGTGCTTAACAAAACAAGAAAAGACACAAAGCAATGCAGCGCATTAAAAAGAGTCAACATACAGTATACTGTATACAAACCTTCAGTGTATGCCCCACAAAACAGACTTGTTTTTAACCTGGATTTGAATATAGTCAGAGTAGAAACTTCCAGGCTGTGCATAAATCTGATATACTGCCTCCCAATGTTTTGTCCTGAGTCTGGCCACGGCAGGAGACCAGTCCCTGTGCTTCTCAAGTCCAAGTCCAAGTTGAATCTCAATCTGGTTCTGAAGAGATTTTATACTTCATTATTATGTTTAAGAAAGAAATGTTATACTTGTTTATTTGATTCTAGAGGTAGAGATTTTATTATATTTTAATTAGTATAGTTATTGGTCATGTATCTTGTGCTGTGTGCTCCTCATTCCTACTGTTCTGTAACTTTAATAGATCCCTTATAAGAGTAGGAATGAGGAGCACATAACACAAGATAAATGAACAGTAGCTATACTAATTAAAATAAAATAAAATTTCTAACTCTAGCATCAAAGACAAAAGTATAAAATCTATATCTTTAACATAATAAAACATTGTAATGCAACACTGACATTTCCCCACTGTTGGATGAATAAAGGATCTCTTCATCCTCCAGTCTCCCTCTGAATCTCCCCCTGATTCCTCCTCCTGCTCTCCCCCGGTTCCCACTGAGCCACAGGGGTCGTTCCTCTGATTGGTTTCACACTTCCGGAGGCCAGACTCGCACCTCCATAGGCCTGGTTCTGACTCCCCCAGAGAGGAGCTTCACACAGGGACGAGCGGGAACTGCCACCTGCTGTGGCTAAAACCCCTCCAACGGCAGCTCTCCGTCATCACCCTCAGTGATAAGAGAGTTCATGCAGACGACATCACGGTATCAGTAATTGTAGAATGTCTGAATAATGTAAACGGCACAGTTCACAGCTGACATCACACTCAGAAAAACAAAGCACGTCACAGTCAAACAGCAGCAGCAAGATAGAGCCATTTTATTTTTCATTTAAAGCAAGAAAAAAAATCAAGAAAATGTTGCAAAACAGGAAAATGACAGAGGAAATAAGGTAATAATAATAATAACATCCATATATATCCGTATACACATGGCAGCTATTTCACCAACAAACTTCAATAATGTAAGTGAAAGAAATATTATGCATAAGAATAATGTGAACTTAATGTATTTATTAATAAGAATAAATGAACTTTAAACTTTTGTTCAGAAACTTTATGATTTGTCCATGTTTTGACTTACTTTCTATAGGGACTTTCTAAGTAAAAAAGTTAAGAAAATATTACACACAATTTCTGTTGTACCCACCTCAATTTTAAAAAGAAAAAATGACACATATGGCAAATGGTGAATAGAATTAATCTCAATCTGAATTACATTATCATTATTATTACTACCCGAGAAAGAGTTTTGTAATCTGTAATCTTTTGTAACCCCTGTAATCTTTTTCTTACTTCTAAAGAGCCCATACACTGAGTCACTATTGGCCAAAAATGTGAAAACTAGTGATAGAACCAATCTTTAACCCCATCTTTAAAGTCATCCACAGTGTGCTTTAAACTGAACAGGTGAACTGCAGGTGATCACTTCTCTTTTATTATTGGCCATAACAGATGTAAACATAGAGGTGTGAATGCAGCTCAATGGTCTCTGGCTCACGGGACCCGTTAGGAGCGACGCCTCTGGGCTCATAAACCAGGGACCCCTACAGAGGACCCCCCCCCCACACACACACACAGACACGGCCCCTTTAACCCCCATCAGCCCCAGAACCCCCCAGAGAAGAACTATGAGCCTGCAGCCTGAGGACATTTCCCACAGAGGGAAGCGGAGAACTGACTCCAAACCTGTTATCAGCTTAATTCTTCAATTTAAAGGAGACATATCATGCAGCATTTGCTTGACTGAGGCTCAATTACTCTTACTAAATGATATTAGTTCCTTTTGTTGGACAAACAAAATGTTTATGAAAAAGATGGGTGCCCCAACTTGGCTAACCTTAATGTGGCTCAGGCTCTCAGAGAATGAATTAAAAGATCCCTTATTGGTCCCACAGTGAGGGAATTTCAGTGTTGCATCACCGGTTACAGATCAGTAGGAAGGAGGAGCACACAAGATGAATGAATAACTCTATGCTACAATGAAAAAAAAAAAATATATATAGAAGTAATCTTTATTTATATACCGCCTTTCAGATTCAGATCAGATTCATTTATTTGCCATTTGCAGTAAAACCACATTGGAAAAACTGTGCAAGACTACCCCGGTGTGCGCCAGACAGAGACGACACACACCAGAGCTCTTGCCACGGCGCCATCTTTCCGGCGCCATGCGACAAACAGTAGAATAAACAGCAGAGAGCAATAACATACAGGTTACAACAGACAGTTGGATAGAAAACATTGTGCTTTTTATAAACCACGGATTTTTTTTCGGGATGAGCACCTTCCGCAGCCGGCCCAATGTGGCTGTCAGAGGGGGGCGGGGTCAGGGAGGACCAGAGTCTCAAAGCGGTTTACAATTGTTAATTTGGGCACTTGTCTTCTCATTCCACACAGAGATGGGAGCGGGGTCGCCAAACAGGAGGCGCATGCCAGACCTATTGTGCATGTTTTTAGTGGTAGGGGAAACCGGAGTACACGGAGGAAACCTACGCAGAGACGGGGAGAACATGTAAACTCCGCTCAGAAAGGCCCTGGTCCGACCGGAAAGAAACAAGTATAACATCTCTACCTTCAATCTCTAACTTTATCAAGAAGCAGGAATAAAATATAAAATCTATAAAAAGGTGTAAAATCTCTGACTTTTAATTTGTTTCAATTGCAGAGAAAAAAAAAAAAGGACATAGAAACCTACATTGATGTACATATGGACATACAGGCAGACCTACAAGTACAGGTAGGCACACATGTAGCTATACAGGTATACGTACATAGGCGGCAAAAGGGTTGAAGGGAGGGGGAAGAAAGTTAGAATCGGATACAGATGATTCATTAGATAGGGAGAAAGGAAGCATAAATATATGAATAACAATATATACACATCCATACACACATAGTCACAGTGGACACGTGTGCTTCTATATTGCACATCCTGACATTAGTTAAAATGACTGCACAGATGCACAAAATCTGAGGTCGGAATATAAGTATGTCCCTGACCTTTCCTTTTTCGCACAGACCTATTCCGGTGTGAAAGCGTGACAGAGGCCCCCACTCTCTGAAAACTGTGCTATATAAATAAAGATTACAACCTCACTCCTCCGCACTGCCTACATCACGACACGCAGTCACGTTTTATGTGCAACAATAGACCGACTCAAACCTGACACGACTTCAGCCGTGTTGAGTGAAAAGCCGGAGTGGTGTTTTTGTGCCGGAGAATGAGGCCATGAGGACAGGTGCAGACGGAGGGGACCAGGGCTTTGTCTTTATTTTCAACCGGAGAGAGCCAGGTGTAGCGTCTGTTTGGATTTGAATCTGCAAAAGTCCCTCCCCGCCCCGTTTGGAGAGAGGAAAGAGCTCTCATTTGAATCAAAACTGTTTGAGTGTCAAGAGTTTAAAGCTGGAGTACGTAACTTTTAGCAGTTTATTAGAAGCACTTGTTTTCATTCCATTTTCTCTGTACAACAAACTGTTAATCTTATGCCTGTGTGAGAACTGGCACGTAAAACTCTATTGAATTTATTTGATTTTTTACAAATATAAGAAACGTAAATGTTTATCTGCCTCAGTCTATTCACAAAACACACCTGTGTGGTCTGACCTCAAGTCTAGTATCTTTAAGTTATTATATTTAAAAGAGCCTTGTGAGATGCTTTGGGCTGAGAGCTGATTGGCTTTGAGTAGCCCTAAATCACAACAAGAGTCGTCTCGGTGGACTCTGAGGACTTGGAGGACTTATTCATCGACAACACATCAGAGAATCAAACCATGCCATTGGTCCATAAAGCCTAGCGTACATCGACAGAGAAACTGGGGACAACTTGTTGCAAGGCGGCTTTTGGCAACTGAGAGGAGATGGTGGGAGATGATCAGTTGCCGAAATCGGTCGATGTGCGCGCTCTTACAACTGGAGATGATCAGTCGGTCTCCAGTTTCAGTCAGTTGCCCGTGTTCTACTTTTCGGCAACTAGTTG